TAGCAGCCCACAGATTGGGCTTTTCACAACCTTCTATCTGCGACTGCAGTTGGATTTATCCTTCATCGGTGCTAAGGTCCATGAACTCTTTAGCAAGCCTAACATGCGGTACGCCTAGACCTTCAAACACGCGACCCATATTGGACTCTGGAGAGCAGGCGTATTCAAACATCACAGGCAACTTATCCATGCGTGCCTGACGTTTGCGGGCACGATGATGCCCTACCACAAATTGCTTGGGCGGCGGGGTTTCAACCTCGGCTCTGCGCGGCATGCCAAAAATTGGCAATGTGTCTGGACTGCCGTTCTTTGATGCTTCGGTGAGAGGTGTCGGCGGTGCGGACTCTAACACACGGCTGCACCTGTGGGAATAACACAATCGGACTGAATGGGTTTTAACTTGAACACTGTGAACCCGGTCCATGAATCCCCAAGTGAGCGATTTGGTCGGCTACCAAACCAACCATCGTGGATGTTGTCTGCTCTGCCCCCCTGAAACACGGCACGAGTGGTGCGAGCTGCATTTTGACATTTTCTTTGAACACCGAAAATCTTCACCTTGCGATGTAGCGGCTGTCGCTGGCGCGGAATCGAAAAATGAGGCACCGGGTCTTGAGGGAGCTGGCTCCCCGGCTTCGGCTGCATCAAATTCATGCGCTACATCTTCTGCACTAACTGCGATCTTCGGATCTTTATCATGCTCGGATGCGTGAATAGCTCTGGCTACCTCCTCATCCCCTTCGGTATGAACAATGGGAATGGGTTCCTTAGACTCAATTTTGGCAGCGCTTTCTGCAGCTGCTTCAGCCCTATCTGCAGAAACAAGTTCGGAGAACCTTTTCTTACATTCAGCACTGTGAGTCTTGGAATGACCGGTGCACGCACGACAACCTGGCGTTTCCTTGAACTTGATGATCCTCTCAACAGTTGTGCGCACGGATTTTGACTTGACAGTGGATGGAGTGGGCGGGGCCCCGAAAGGCGCCTCTCGCAGGGGCAATGGTGGGGGATCTGACCCCTCTGTCTGACCCCTCCACGCAATGCTCTGTCTGCTGCTGCTGCGATCGGAAAGCTTGGCGGTCCGTCTTCAACAAACAATTCCGGTTCTGGAACATCGTGAACGGAAATGGAACCATCTTTACGAAAGGCATCATAGTCCATGACTTTGACCACGTTACGGTACCTCAACCCCGGATCGACCCTCCAACCCAAAAAGAGCGCTGCGCCATGTTCGGATCAAAAGTGCGTTTGCCAGGAGTCTTAGTTCTGTACCAAACCAATTGTCCGAAACAGCATCTCTCCCCTTGCAACTTTTCCTTTGTGAGAGCTTCCCATTGGGTTTTACCGGGGCTGAATGGAGCAGGCCTATCGAACGACATGGTTTCTCTTCACGGATGTCGCGCTCCAGGGTGGTATTGTGGGGCCACCTGTTTGGCAAGCTTGTCTCTGGGACGAGACCGACTTCGTGGGCCGCTCCTTCGAGCTCTCCTGCTGCACCCATGAACTGACGGAATTGTTTAACATGCGCTTGTGTGTCTCGCCTGCTCACAGGGTAGGCAAGGCGAACGCCTGAGAAAACATCACGTACTACATGGTGGGATTTGATTCCTCCGAAACCTACTCCGAGATGTTCATCGCCCGTGGCAAGAATCACAGAATCGGTAGCCAACTGTTGAAATGGTGCGGTTGGGACGTCGACTTTGTCGTCTGACCTGGCATCCTTCTCGTGCGCCGCCCTTGCAGAAGTGGTCTTTGAGATGGAACACACTTTGCAAAATGGGTTCTTAGGGAAATGGGACTGGACCTCATGCGCTCGGGAGATTTTGCTTGCTCCTTTAACGCAGTAGCATGTGTTGGGTCACCGCCCCCAAAAGCGATCAATGGAAGTTCATCCTTGGGAGGAGGGGCTTCCTCAGCCGCTAACATGTTCACAGCTTGAAGATGTGCTTGAAAGTAGATCCGCTAAAGCAGCTGCATAGTGCGCTGCGGCATGTCCACAAAATTTCCAAAAGTGTGCAAGTGACTGGGCGATGCTTGAATAACTTGCGTCAGTCATTGTGAAGTAAACTTGACTTCAAGTTGGCGTGGTAATGCGCCCAGGACACTCCCTCAGTGCCGTCAATGAGGGGGGAGTCAATTATGACGATGACATTTATGGCCCAGAGGTTATTCATACAGATGGATAGCATGCCCGCATGCTATCGTTTGGCTCAAGACAAAAAGGTGCGCGCTGCGCGCGTTTGCCCAAGTTAAGGGAGAGGTCGCAGTCACGGCGGGGTTCGTTCCTCCTAAGGTCCCGCATTTCCTCCGTTGTTGAGAAAACTGTGTTTCCCTCTCCTTTTAGTTAGATAGATTAGATTAGATAGATAGATAGATGAATCGATAGATACATAGCACGGTAAGATAGGACAACATGGGATAAGATAGGACAAGATAGGATAAGACAGGATAAGATAGGTTACGACGGGATAAGATGGAATAAGATAGGTTCAAATAAGATAAGACAGGACAATGTGTGATAAGATAAGATAAGGTAGGCAAGATAGATAAGGTAGATAGTATAGATATGACAGGTATGATAGTCAAGGTAGATAAGGCATATAAGATAGGAACAAGATAGTGAGATAGATACGATGTGACAGATAGGAAAAATAAGAAAGATAGGATAGATATGATAGACATGATAGATAGGTAGGTGTCTAGGTAGAGAGAGAGATAGATAGATAGATAGATTGATATGTAGATAGATATTTAGGACAAGATAGATAGATAGATACATAGGATAAGGTAGGACACGCTAGGATAAGTCGGGAGAATATAGGGTAAGATAGCATAAAACAGGATAAGACAGCGTAAGGCAGCATATGATAGGATCAAAAAAGGCTAACATACATATACACATACATATGTATATATATATATATACATGGTCGCCCCCGCCCCCCAAGATCCACCCTCAGCTTAAACTGCAAAAACACTGGAATTTACAGTGTTTTGAGCAGTTTTCAACTGTTTGAAGCAGGGTTGATCCTGGACAAGATGTGATGCTGGCAGATGTTTTGGTTTGAGAATGCATTTTCACATGGTATTTGCAGCAATTTTGAGCCCGGAAAAGGATAGGCAAGCAGAAGTTTGCAGATGATTTGTGATTGAAGTGTGTTGAAGATGTGAAAAGATTACATTTTTTTGGTATTGTTTTCTTTTTTAAAGTTCGGGAAGGTCAGGGTGCTCAAAGTGCTGCACTGGGACAGTACAGCACTTTGGAGACCAGGGTGCTCAAAGTGCTGTACTGTCCCTATTTTTTGTGTTTCCCAAAGCAAACAAATAGGGACAGTGCAGCGCTTTTGAGGGGCCAGGCTACACACGGTGAGATAATAGGAAAGCTGGAGAAGGTATGATATTTAGAATTGGTAGGTAGATACAATAGGTCGGTAGATAGATAGGTAGATAGACAGATAGGATCAGAGAAGGTGATATGAGATAAGATATGACAAGAAAGGGTAAGACAGGATAAGATGGAATACGATGGGGCAAGATAGGACAAAACAGGACAAGAAAAGTGAAGACAGGTTAACGCAGGATAATATATTATAAGAAAAGGCAAGGTAGGCAATGTAGATAGGTAGGTAAAATCGATGTGATACAGAAGATAGACCAGATAGATAAGATATCATAAGACAGATACGAGAGGTAGGATGGGATAGATGGGAATGATCGGAGAGATAGGATAGATAGGATAGATAGGATAGGTAGGTTGGTGGGTAGGCGGGTAGGTTGGTAGATAGATCGGTAGATAGATACATAGGAACAGATAGGATAAGGTAGGAACATATAGCAAGATACAAGATAAGGTAGGATAACATGAGATTGGCTAGCGGGTAGGAATGGATAAAAAAGATAGGGTAGTAAGGCTAATACAGGATAAGATAGACTACGATAGCACATGGTAGGATACGATAGGAAAATAAGATTAGATGGGATAAGACAGGATGAGGGTAGGATAAGACAGGATAAGATGGAGAGATAAGTAGATATAGATAGACACATAGGATAGATAGGCTAAGACACGGTAAGATAGGCCAACGTGGGATAGATAGGATAAGATAGGATAATACACGACAAGCTAGGATATGATAGGAGATAAAATAGGCTAATATAGCATATGACAAGATAATCTATGATAAGAAAAGATAAGGTAGGTAAGATAGATAAGGTACATAGTATAGATATGATAGATATGATGGACGAGGTAGACAAGACGTATGATATTTATCAGGTAGATCAGCTGGACAATCTAGACAAGATACAATGAGTTAAATAGGACATGCATGAATGATCTTGTAGATATGATATTTAGATCGGATAGGTAGGGTAGATACGGTCAATAGATGGATAGATGGATAGATAGATAGACAGGTAGGTAGATAGATAGATACAGAGATGGATAGAAATAGATAGATCGAGATGGGTAGATCGAGATAGAGATAGAGATAGATAGAGATAGAGATAGATAGAGATAAGTAGTTATATATAGAGATAGGCATAGATAAAATTGATAAATAGATAGATAGATAGATAGATAGATCAATAGATACATGATAGATAGATAGTTGGATAGAGATAGATAGATAGATAGATAGATAGATAGATAGACACATAGATAGATAAATGGATAGACAGAATATGGGATGAGTGTGCCGCCTTTTCAAGGGGTTATGTCGCGCGAAAGTTGGCATTTGCACGGTTTTCACCGCTTTCGTGGGTTTCTCGTGTTCACAGTTTTCGCGGTTTTCGTGTGTTTTGCAGTTTTTTGCGGTTTTCGCGTTTTCGCGTTTTCGGTTGCAAAATCCGCTTAGCGCACATCACGAAAAAATCGCACAGTCTTTTTAGGGGACCCCCCACCCACCCCTCCCCCAAAATGGTGGTTTTCCTTTTGGTTTTCCTTGATGAACCAAACGAGGGTTCCCAAGCCGAAACCAAGTTCAGCTGGCCTGTGCAAGGCCCAGCTTCATGCTGGCAGCTGTGCAGGTGGATGCCTGGAGCCGAGAGAAAGCCGGATGGCCGGGATAGATGGGTCCCAAGTGGCTGCCCTTTTGGATTTCATTGACCAAAGAATGGTCAAAAAAGACATTCCCAAATGGCTGAGGGTCCAACATAGGTACCCAAATGGTACCCAGGTAAATGGACACATGGACTAAAACCTGCGGTCTAGGGGTGACCAATTTTGACCCAGCGGTAAAGGGGATAGGGTTAATCACCAATTCCAAGGAATGTTTACCATAGCTGTTGACTTAGTTCTCCATCCTCCCAGGCCGATGGCCTCTCATTTTGTAGTCTCTGCTCGAGAAAGCCATTGGACTTGTCAACTGTTTTGAGCCATGTTGGGAACATGTCATCGTATCATACAAGACATGGTTTGTGTGTTCTCAGCTGTAATTATTGCCGCTTCTATTGTGTATTAACGGGATTGGCAAGTGAGCGTGAAGATACAACCATTTGTAAATTGGTGGCCCAGTATTCTGTATTCCGCGTAACTGCAGATGTGCCGCTTGCTAGCTGTGTGTTCTAGCTATGTCCTAGCTTGGCACATCCTTCAACAAACTTCTGTGGGCTTCAGACGATTACTTTCTCTGCTTTTTTTCTTTCTTACAGGAGGACGAGCTTTTGCAGAGGCAAGTGCAAGCGGGGCTCTGAGGCCCTCACCCTCTCCCTGGCCGCTGAAAATGTACGGAAGGACAGCTTCCATGAAGCCTGTCTGAGGCATCTGGTTGCTGCCAGCTCTTTTCGGCCAGGACCCACAGGTTGTTTGTGAAGCTGTGGAAAGGGAGCCGGTGCCCCAACTCCTAGCGGTCCTAGCGTAGCTCCGAAGATCCTGAGCACTGGTTGGCAGTTTGAGGTGGGAGATGCTGGAGCACGCTGCCGAGGACACATAGTTCTAGCAGTGCTAGTTGCTGCTTGGTCCTGGCGCGATCGTTTCGTGCTTCTTCGACTGCACGAGGACCTGCGCTCGAACCATGCCTTCATGATGGAAGCTGTAGGTGTGCTGACTCGCAATCTTTGCACCGGCAGACTTGATGGTGTGCCTTTGCCAGGCATCGAGGGTTTGTCGCTGAAGTATGCCTCTGCTGACCTTTGTGACAGCCTTACTTGATCCAAATTGCCAGGTTGCACCTTCTCTGAATTTGGGGAGTGATTCCTAATCTGCTTGCTCATGTGAGGTGCAGAGCCGGACATAGTCCTGGCTGCGATCTCCAACTGTGGCCGAGCATTGGAGTTCGCGGTGAGCGACTCAGATGATTGCACTTCTTTTCAGCCGTCTCAGAAGAAGTTGGACTTTGCTTTCAGAGTGAAATACGATGCTTGCTGCTCGTTGTGAGGCGGAAGGTCTGAGAGCAGAGCCGGACATTGTGCTGATGGCAGTGCGGCAGGACAGGTTTTTTGGCCCTTGGGGCTATGTGATCTGGCATTCTTGATTTCAGAGACACACGGGTTCGACATGTTACACAAGTGGTCAACATGTTTAAAGAAACATGACGGTAGCAGTCCCTTAATTAGTTGTTTGAAAAGCAAGCCCTGCGTGCAGTGTAGGAAGGGCAATGAACTCGAGATGCTTTCCGTGCACATGTCCGTGGCACAGCAAACCCCTTGTCGAGGACTTCGAAGCAATCGCTTTTGCCGATGACGAGCTCCGGAACGACTTCACGTCTAGCGCTTATGGTTGCAGATGCCCGATGAGAGTGGCTTCAGAGGTGAGCTGAAGCCTGTAGCATACCGCCTGCAGTCAGGTTTATGCTTAGAGCTGTGCGGGTGGACGGCCGGGCTTTGACTGGGGCCGCCAGCTCAGTGCTCACGTGGTTGATTTGAGCTAGTTAGGCAGGAAGCTAACTCAGCTGGACCGAGACCCAAGAAGTCCGTGTCTACTTGTCTACTATATTCAATTCATGCTGGCGGAACTTTTGCCCCAGAGATGGAAGCCGCGCCGTTTGCAGAGCTGAGCTCATGTTCTCCAGGCTTCTGTGGAGTTGAAAGCAGATCCAGACCTGGTCTTGTCCGCGGTGCGAAACCGAGAGGGTCGACGTAGACGGGAGAAGTTGGCAAGCGCATTCGAGGTGCAGCAAAACTGGCGGTCATTGAAGTATGCCTGTCGGGCATTGCCGGGCCCTAGAACTGACTGTATTGGAGAGTCCCAAAGTTTGACGAGATTGCATTTTGCAGGCGCAGCAATATAGACTTCATGATGCAGGCAGTTCGTTCGATTCTCAGTGCAGTCAAGCGTTGCAAAGAGGTCAACGAGGCATCACATCTCTTCACACTCTTTGTTGTTGAATCCACAGTGATTTGTGCCCACCACGTACCAGGGAGGGTCAAACAGTTTGACACTCATGGACATAGACCGTTTAGGCTGAGCAGTTGGTGCACAGCCATTTGTGGAGATTTTGCCGAGTGGTTGAAATGTTTGAGACCTAGGTGTGAGCAGCTTCGCATTGGCTATGGCTGCTCAGGACATTCTTCTATTGAAGCTGAAGAAGCATCGAAGCATGGAAATGATAGCCGGTCTACTGATGATCTACTACTGATGATCTACATGTTCAATTCTGTTGCCAAATAAGCCTAGTTTCATGCTTTGCACATGTTCTTGGACTGTGGGGCCTTATTCGTTCCTTGCAAACATGATGTCTTCAGGAACTGTGGATGGATCCACGTCTTCTGGCAGCAGCTGCAGAGGACACCGTCGATTGAGGACCTTGACCTGCTTCAAGAAATCCATGTGAGGAGACCCAAACCAACGAGAGCGCCGCTCTTGGTTGCCGAGCTTTTTTGTGGCGAAAAGTCAAGCCTCAATCTGTTCCTCAAAGGTTTCACCATACACACCCCAGGTTCGCTCGACGCACCTGAAAGTCTGAGTGCTGCCGTGCTCTCGGCGTGCACTATCATTTGCCTCAGCTGGCGGTGTTCTTGCAAGACAAAGGTGAACGCAGATGCTGTTTTCCCAGAAACTAGCCCTTAACCCCCAAGTTTTGGTAAGACCGGATTTCACATGATGTGTTTGAAAATTGCAGCAGCTGGGGCAATGCACCGCATTGACTTCGACCAGCTGAAGCGTGACATGCTTTCAGGATGCTGAGCTGCGGCAATTGTTGCGGCAAGCACGGCCAGGTTGGCGGGGAGCTTGAGCTGCATTCCCGCTAGACGCCAGCCCAAACGAATGCGCCTGCAGTCGATTTTTTGTTTGCTGAGGTCCGAGGAGAGTTTGCAATCAGCAGAGCCCCACGCTCATTTCTTCATGCATTTTCCTGTGCCCGATCGCATCGAGGCAGAAGCTTTGCAGCATCGGTGCGACAAGCGTGCCGCTCTTGGCGCAGGCACTGGCACGACTGGAAAGCATTGTGCACGAGGTTGCTCTCACCCACACTGCCGGCCACACACACACACACACACGTGTTTGCGGCAGAGCAACGAGAGGCTGTGCGAGAGGCTGTGCGCTTGAGCAGGCCCTAGCTGCTGACTTGAATGGCCGCTTGCGAGCAGCTGGCCAGAAGATATTCACGGCCACCACCGTCATGGAGTGAGGCGCTGAGCACCTCCTTCGTCATTTTCGGCAAGCTTCGACATAGCGTGCTCAACATTCGGACAGCTGCACTGCTCCGGACTTTGAAATCTATGGCCCTTTTGTTGGCTTTGCTTGACGCGTATCGAGCATGTTCTGGTTCGATTTGACTCATGTCCGCTGTGCTTTGGTTTCTGAGTGCTGATAATGTCCAATCAAGGTTCAGCTTCCCGCATGGCTTTTGCACGTGCGCAGGCATTGTTCCATGCAAAAGTAGGGGGACCCTAAACTTCAGGGTATCCTACTTGATTTCCCTTTGAACCAACCTCAAAAAGGGTAGCCTCCAAAACACAGCAGCCCAAGTCCCACAGGGACTTTGCAGCATTTTGAGGCTGAAAGCTCGAACCGCCACTTTGCCAGCTGTGCCGAAGTCGGGCTCGCGCCGGGCTGAGATATACTCCTTCGACTGACCGCTCAGCGTCCCGAGTAAAACATGCCATGCTCCAAGTTGGCCAGCTCGTTAGGCAAAAGGCAGCCAAGAAAGGATCCAGGCCGTGCATTCGTCCGTACAAATTGCTGGCATTGGTTTATGATTGCAGGCCAAATGCCCGTCTGGCATTTTGAACGCCACATGCCCATTGTTGATCACCGTCAAGATCAGAAGGCCTGCACGATGGTGCATTTAGCATACAACGGCCGGAGTTCTTCAGGCAACTGCCTCAGGATGGCCTGCAGGCGGACCCGATGAGCTTTTGCTTGGGGCTTCCTTTCGTGGCACTGAAGTATTGCAGCTGGCGCAGGCCGCAGACAAGAAGAACATCTGCGATGAGATGAGATCGCGGGATTTAATGTCTTACTCGGCCAAAGTCAAAGCTCCGGTGGTTCTTTTTTCAGTCAAAGATTCTGTTGCTGGAGCACTGGGTGAGTTGCTTTATTGCTTACGCTTTCTTTGACCTTGGTGCCTCGAGATATGCGCGTCCTCACACGTGAGTCTTAAAGGAAGGGCCAGCGCGACGATCCGTTTCCTTGAAACGACGCTTTGCTTACGTTGAGATGGCTGTGGGTCAAAACCAATGGTACCATTTTGGGGTAGGTGCAACACTTATTTTAGTCTATTTTAGTGGGGATTGGGATGTTCACTGTGGGTACGATTTGGCTTTTGACCCATGGCCAGATCTCTCGCAGGAACTCGCGGGACGGCCTTTGCTGACATGGACCGTGGTGTCCTCAGCTTAGCTTTGCTTCCATACCGCCTGAGTTGAAGCCGAAGGTGAAATCAGCCTTGGATAGCAATTGCTTCGACGAGGCTGGACCGACTAGCAATATCGTGTTTCTTTCTAGCTTCACTTAGCTATTTATGCTGCCGCACATCGTTGCCGTGTCCATTCCAAGATGCACAGTTTTAGAGCTTGACTCCGGGTGCTGATCAAGGTGATTGGCGATTTTGCTTTGATATTGTGGAATCTCACGGGAGGTGTACAAGGAGGGGGGCGAAGCTTCCCTAAGAAGGAACCTCAAGAAAAGCCAAAGGAACCTAGGGTTCTCCGCCCACTGCGGCCTTGCCTCCATGATGTGTTTGGCTCTGCTAACCATCCAGCCTCGTCACTTTCCTGCATGCGCTCTTCGTCACAGCCCTGCATCAACCAACGCCGTGTTTGAAGAGCAGGAAGATGCAGGAAGCTTGCATCCGAAAACAGGAAGGTTCATTAAACATGACCACAAGAACAAAGAAACCCAATCAGTCAATGTTGCCAAAGCAGGCGTATGTTTAGTGAAGCCTAGCTTGGCAAGGCACTGGCGTTTGAACCCTTACGCATGATGACCCCATTGCCTGGTAGATCTCTACAAATTCCAATAGCATCAGGAACCCTTCGACATGCAGCCGGCAATGCGAGAACCTCGCACTTGTTGTACGTGCAGTGTGGAAAGCGATCCTAAAGTGAACGAATCCATGTTCACGAGAAGCATTCAATCGACAAAGCATAGGGCTCTGATCAGGTGAGACGCTACACCGGCTGCGGTGTGGGTAGCAACAAGCCTCAAGTGTTCAAATCAAGCCGCAAGGAAGTTACAAAACAAACATGCTAGACCAGCCAGCGCAGTTGTCAACTTGAACCAAAACAAAGAAGCGTAGAGTGGGAACAAGCCGTCGAAGGGAGCACAGGCACATCATCGATGCTTGTGATAGCTGCCATGACTGTCTGGCAGTGATGCATTGTTGATCTTTCCGTTGATCTTGTCTTTGTTGTCTTTGATTCGTCAGTTCCTGTAGTTCCCATGTGATGTGGAAGTTCGAGAACCATTCCATTTGCTTGGCTGCCACTCTGTGTCCACCATTGAGGTACCTCTTGCGTCTTTTGTGCTCGTACTCTTCTCGATTGCAGAGTGCCTCTACCTCAACTTTTGGATCAACATGCCACGCTTCTGCTCTTTTCTGCCTGCCTGGTACAGCAAGTATGCCACTTGGTGTTTCGTACTTCGCATCACATCTGGTCGTTGAGCTCCCTGACGTCCGCAATTCTCATGATGTGATTCTGGTCCATGTCTCCGTCGCATGTGCATCTACTAACTTCTGCTTCGCCCCCCTCCGCGAGTTGCTCATCCTTGAATGGGTTCGTCCGCATCTCCTTCCTGGCTTCTTCCTTTCTTCGGAGCTATTGGTAGGCTTTGCTGCAATTTGCTGCCTGGACTTCGTTAAGTTGCCCACTTTGTTTTTCCGCCCCCTTTGCTTCGGGTTTCCTATTGGTAGTACAGCCTTGTGCCAAGCTGGCTACGGATGAAATTGCAAGAGGAAATCGCAAGGTGTAGATAAATACCCAGGCCAACTCCCTGCTTTGTTTGGGCAAAGCGTCGAAGCTGGCAAAGCAAGCCTACTTCATCTGTAATTACTACTGTTGGCTAGTTTGGTTTGACAATGCACCGTTTGCCTTGAGCAGACGACCATTTTTGCTCACAAACTAGCAACGAGTGTAAGGACTCAGTCACTGCTGGGCATCATTTGCATCATACTTGAGTGTGCGCAGGTGTTTGTGAGCACAGACCATGACGGCATAGCAGAAGTTGCTGAGCAGTGCGGCTCTTACATCCAAAAAGGATTCCCCAGAGTTTGCTTCTTTTCTTCCCAGCATGGTTTGCCCACACGTCTAGCAATTCAATAATTCTGATAGGGCAGGAGCACGAGTGCACCGGCGAGCCGCTGAAACAGCCACGGCCACTGCGAGCACCGAGTCGGCCATGGCGCTGGCCCAAGTTTTTTGGGGGCCGTTTCACGCGTCTTCCTCTTGGAGTGCGACATGTGGGGTTTGGTTTCAAAGCTCGCCGCGGCTCGTGATTCGACACGCAGCTGCTTCGACAGGCAGCTGCTAACCGTCACTAAAACATATTCATAATATGTCTCGCAAGCGGCAGGGCACCTCGATATAGCACATGTCATACTGTAGTGGACATGAGGTTGACTTCGCCCGCGCCCACCCGGACTTTGATGTTCTGTGCCCGGCAGGCAAGCAGTGCGTGCTGTCTCTGTGCGCGTGCGTGTCGGTTGTGACTTGTGCTTTCGGGCACTTCGCACAAGCTGTTTCCTATTTGCATCCAAGGTGCTTGATACAAGCAACTTCGCCGCTGACGATGTTGGGCGCTTGGAGTCCGATTTCTGGTGCGATGCGTGCAAGGTCATCTTCGTTCGACCCAAGGCCCTCTCACTTCTGCGAAGCCTTGGATTTGCTTCAGAGGCACGCTTGGAGTTGCTGTAGTTGTTCGGATACGGTTTGGTTGTTATGTTGCAGCGAGCTGTTTAGTGCTGTGTATTGGGGTCATGTTCCTTTCCAAGGCTGGAAGAGAAGGACAACATGCTGGGAAAAAGGGGGAAGAGAGGGAAAGACGGTTCTGACACAGTGGTGGTACGGTTTTGACAAGGTGTGACATACGGGCTTGATGGCATTTTATTCATGGTTCGCTAGCGAGGGAGCTTTGGGAACAAGCAGAAACAATCGGCAAACCATGTGCAAAGCAAGCACAACCATATATCAACATATGCATAAGTCATCCCCACTCCCTTAGTCTCCAAAACATTGGGGCGGAGATCCGGGTACTGTGACTTGCACTTTTTGGGTCCCCTCCGCAACAAAAAAGGTAAGTCCCTCCACCGCCGAGTGGGAGGAGGGCAGGGTGGGGGGAGGGGAAGCCATGCAGCTTGGGCCAGGCCAGGTCTCCTCATGTTAAGCTCACATTCTTCTTGGGTATTTGTCATGTAATCATTTTTTGCAGGTGCTTAGCAGCCACTTTTGTCAAACCGAAACCATTGTAATATGACGAGATTTGCCCGCGCCTGTGAGATGTTCTGAGCCCTTAAGGTGGGGATCAACAGCTTGAGCTGTGCAGGCAGAAGGCGGATTCGTTGGTAACGGCGGTACGGGCGCATCGCTTCCTTTGGCCGGTGGCTTACACATGGAGCTTCTGAAATTCAAGAGCATTGACAGGATTGCAATGGATCTTCAAGCCTTGAGCGACCCTGGTTAGTTTTGGCCACATTGCGGGCAAGGCTCAAGTCTTGGCCTTCAAAGCGAGGCGGATTGATCCGGATTCTGGCGAAGCACAAGCAAAGAACTACCACCCAGTCAAGCGACCAAGGCCGGGCATACAGTGCAATAGAGTTGTGTTCTTGCAGAGCTTTTAGCACAGGAGACAAGATTGGGATGGCGAGCTGATCGAGACACAAAGCTGCATAAGAAGCTACAATCCATGCTGAGGCAAAAGTTGTGATCTGATTGCTGACATCTTCGGCATTGTACCTTTAGTGCATTCCCTGTGGGACAAAGCAGGGGGTGGCAAGCAACCGAGGAACGGCGCATTTTATTTGACCAGAAAGGCCGTGATCTGTCCCACGACATGACAAAATTACATTTTTGAGAGCCTGGCATTGGCCTTTGAACCACCATTCTACCCGGACTGTTGCTTAGTTTAGGCAACCCCAGAAACCCAACCCCCAATCCCCATTCCCCGATCAGGCGCTCTTTGACAAGGAGCAGTGCCGTCTTGGTGGACGCGTTGCCATTCTTGCACGTCTTGAAGAGTGGCATGTGGTAGGCTCTTGGCCGGAGTTGTGGACGCCAGGCGCTGTATGAGATGCCCGAGCACACACTCGTGGAGTTGGTCGGGGAGTCAATGCAGGGCGAAACAAGGGAAGTCCAAAAGTGCCAGCAACAAGCTCAACCCAGAAGTTAGATGTGTGATTTGCATACCTTGTCTAGTTGTCGAAAGAGTCTATTCTATCAGCGATGCAGACAGATGGATTCTCAGCATCGTGCATAACTACGGTCTTAGATATTATTGACCAGTTGCGCAGCGTCATATGCACTACATTTGTGGCAGCACGCCAAAACGCTGGACGAAAGGGAGAGGTCTCAGTCCAAGCATTGCCGCTGGGGGTACTGTTGTACATGCCCACTTTCCAATCCAAGGGCTGCAAAACACCAGCATCAGAAGCTGTAGGCGCTTCCCTGGAGCTGTTGCAGTTCTGTAAGTATCAAGAGTTGAGCACTCACGTCGATTAAGAATTCCAGGCTTGCGTCAGCACTATATAATGCCTCAAGTCAACATGTCAGGGCAGATATATCCACCTCTGTGTTCTTGAAGTGGAGCTGGAGGCAAGCAACAAGCGTGCTGACTCGTGAAGGTGGTTGTATGTCCACTGATCATTTCTTTCATTGATGACCAGCACATCGCATAACAATCTTCCTGTTTGCCATCCAAGCAATTCCGACTTTCAAAACTGTTGTTGTTGTGAATCAAGTGGATAGCATTTAAATTTTAAGCCAGTCACACACCACTAAACCCTCTAATCCTGTTCCAAGCCTAGTGAAGTAAGGCCAAAGACACCAGTTGAGACGGTCTCGAGAAGGGGGATGGCTTTACGGGGAAGCTCGAAGGAACCTATCAGGACGGCGCCTAGTTTTGAGAAACAGCCATTTGCGAAGCCAGCTGGCCGACAGACTCGCAGCGGCCTCTATTTGTTTTGCCTCTTCAACCTGAAACTGTGGATGATGTTTTCAGCAACTTTCCACAGGATTCGCCTGTGGACTGGCAGATCATGGAGGGCCTGTGCCAGGAGCGAATCACGGAATCAGAGGATGTGTCGAAATGCGCAACTCGGCCATGGGTCAAAATTTATTCGCCATGTCCTTGCTTCCATTTACCAGGGTTGCATCTACCTCTTGACCCACACCCACTTGACAGCCACGGCTTCCCAAACGGCTTCCACGGCTTCCCAAACGACCATGGCGAAGTGAGGAGCATGGATACCAGCCGGCCCAGAGCACCTCCGAAAAAAGACGACGGCGTTATGGGTGGCTCGAGAATCATACCCCCCAAAAGGGGTCAAAAAACCAACCTCAAGGATACCAACTCCGAAGAAGACATCCGCATATTTGGGCTTCGGTGGTGTCCAGTCTATCCATTCGGGAGGGACATGGGTGACGCGCCACATTCGCGAACATCAGGGGGACTCTCCAATTTACTAATGTAGATAGATACATCAAGTCTTGACCGTGGCAAACGTGACGGCCGGTGTGACGCGGGTTTGATGTATGCTTGCCATAGCTTGCCATTCCCGCCTTTCACAGCTCAAGCTTGTGCCACATAGCCAACACATGACAGCTTGGCAAGCGTCCTTCTTTTGACTTTCGAGCCTGGAAGCAGAATCAGCTCTGTGCTCCGCTGAACCGGTGTTTGGGGTGTATCTTTGGCGGTCATTTATCAACTGCACACTGACAAGTATGGGCTTGCAGCGCAATTGGCGGTGATCTCGGAAGCAGACGCAAATCCGTCAGGGTTGGGCAAAATTGGCTTCAACAAGCAGACCCATGTACCGTACCTTTTTTTAAAGAGAAACCAAACGGCTAGTGCTTGAGCATGTTAGAAGGGGTTAGCCCAACCTGCGACAACTTCCTTGCACATGTTGCGCACAGTGCAATGCGGCCCTCCGTCGCAGAGCGGCGAGGTCGCTGTACACGGCCCGCGTGTTTGTGTTTATCACGTGGCTACCAGTTTCAATGGGGGACTCCTCAAAAGTGAATTCGTGGACATATAGTCCACCAAAGGTTCCCCAATGAAAGTTCACACCCATGTGTGTTTGTGTGTGTAGTTGTCTACATCTGTGTGTGTAGCGGTGCGTGCACATTTTTCCTTACGTGACCGCCTTCAAGAGTTTGTCTCAGGTGGCCGACAAGGCCATGATTTGGAATCCTTGCGCGGAAGAGGTGCGACTCAGTCCAAAGCTGAGGGCGGCTTCGCAGTTCACTGCATTCAGAGTCAAGACTCATTGCTGAAGTTCTGAGCTCTTTTGAGGGATTCGCCTCCAAACTCACCACGAGATCATGGCTGGAAGAGCCGGAGGCGGACCTGGCGATGTGGTCAATTGTGGAAGAGTCAGGACAGAAATTAGGACCCTACCCCCAAGAAAGGCTCTACGAACCTCTGGGGGGGTCTTAGGGGTTTGCCCTAATGAGGTTCAAAAAGCATCTATGCAGGCTCAATACCATCGCATCTCGAGTCATGATTGCATTGTCGTGCACTTACGACTGGAAGGGTTGCAGCTGCGTTTTCTCTTTGAAAAGCAACGGACTCAGGATGGCCATGTTTTTGTCAGCGTCTTAGACCGGATCTGACGCATGTTTGGGAACTGTTGACCTGACATGTTTCACAGGTTAGGCTTGCTTCTTCCAGAGCTGCGGTCACAAGGCCAAATGTAAAGCTGATGTGTCTGCTACTGCTTGTTTGCTTTGCTTCTGCAAACACGTGCCTGTAAGGAATTCTAGCAAGTGAGCCAGTTTGTTCGACGCTGAGAGGCATTCTGTCAATGGCAAAGTTTCGACGGCAGGCGCGTGGTAGCGGTTGCTTGCCATGCTGACAAGCAGATGTCGAAGTTTTGCTCGACAGGACGTAATTGCTGCAGCTCCTGCCAGCGAAGAACCAGAGGCCTAGCTTTGCAATCCGAGGTTGGGAAAATATTTCCAGTTTCCGCTTTGTTTGGGAACTACATGATGACTAACTGAATCAGCCACAAAAGCCGGATGACTCACTTTCCCGCATCCTTTACGAGAGCAACAAATCTGAGAGTGGTTCATTTGCTTTTTCTGAGCTTCTTCCCGATAGCATTCATTTGCTCGCAGGAGATTGTGCAGGTAGCGAACGATTATGTGGAGGGCGCAAAGGTGGACTGTGACAGTGCCGGAGCAGCTGCGCTAGAGTTCTTTGCAGGAACGCCGTCCGAGATCTGCCGACGAGGTGGATCCTTTCACCCAGATCGCATATTTGCAAGTGTACGCACGGCAGGATGTCAGAATAGACGAGCCGGAGAGTAGCAAGGATGGGAGCGTCAGGCACAAGGCAATCGAACGATTCAAGCTGAGCCGCAACCATTAGGTGTTGGCCCCCGTCTTTTGGTGGTGTAAACCGAGACGCATCACAGCACATGCTTTCAGTGCTCAATGCTTTAAGAAGAGTTGAATTTCATTGCACTATTGTCCCCCGTTGCTCAATGTGCAGGATAGCAGCGTAGCACATACCGAGACAGGCGCAAAGGACAGCTGTGTTGATGGTTGGTGCCACTGAGGGGTAGCACTTGTTGCTCGGCAATTTCGTGTTTTAGAGAGGATGATCGCATTCACTACTAGCAAGGACCGCCAGCCACCTTCGACAAGTGCAGTGGATGAGGCGGCAATGTGTCATGGCGCAAAGTGAGCAGGTATAGAAGTATATAGTTCTTGCTGTACAGAAGATAGGAGTAAGAAAGTTTCATCGCTAAGGGAATCCATGAAGGTCCGTCTCGTGTTCTCAGCTTGTGCTCGCTGCCCTTTGTACTCTAACAGCACTTTGCCTTGGTTCGAACTTCAATAAATCCCTCAAAGTTTGTTGGATGACGTCAGAAGGCTGTTGTTGGTGTTCTCGCACGCCGCTTCGCAATGGTCTATCTCAAGTTGGAGAAGCGTAAGGCGTATCTTGGAACTCTGCTGAAGGCAATGTCTAGCGACGTATTGAAGCCCACGCCGGGCGTCCGCGAAGGTCTTGACTAGTTGTAACCTGCCGGCTGGCTTGGCATGTGCGCCCCAACGAAGTGATCAGCTCCGAGGTTCCCTCAGGCCTGCGGAAGGTTGGGGGATTTCTCTCACAACACTCCGCGACGCAAATGAACGCTGGCATTGAGAGTCGACGCCTGCGATCGGGAGGCAACTGTGGTGAGGCTGCTAAGCACGTGCAGCATTGTTGAGTGGGCAGGTTGCACTGATTCAAAGCTGACAAGGGCGCAACGACGACGCCCAGCTTCAATATCCTAAGAAAGGACTTAGCCAGTTGGAAGTTGATGTGCTGGGCGCAATGAGCAGGAAATGCGCACTCACAGATCAAACGCCAACTGACGTGTTTGAGACGCGACGGGCAAAAGCTGTGAGGGGCACCATATGAGGAGGAACGCATCCTGGTCACCTGGGAGCTTTAGACCGGTATCTCGAGCTGTTTCGTTGCATTCATCTCCTTGTGAATTCTGCGATGCCTCGACTAGAAGCTTAAGCCACGGCGAACAAAGCAGATGCCCAAACTCAGCAGCTGTCACGCCAACCTGTTCGCTGTTGCACTTGGGATTACTTTGAAATTGTCTTCAGTGGTCAGTGGCGCAATTTGAGTGCCAGGATGTGGTGAGGGTGGGGGATGATGAGCCAGAGAGTGCAAAGGAGCTCCACGTACTTTCACAGCAAGCAAAAGCGCCATGACACTATCACGCGCACGTGTTTGTTTGTATCACATAATATGAGTTACGGCCAATATTTATGGTCATGTCTTGTAGTAAAGGAGATGATATTGAGTACACTCACCAAAGCAGCGTCAGAAATGGTGGCTTACTTACATATCTCCGATGTCAGCTTGGGACACCGTAAACATTGACCGTGGCTCATATTGACATGCTGATATCAATCTGCACAGACCCCTGCCCCTACCTACCTGCCTGCCTACGTCCCTGCCTGCCTGCCTGCCTTGCATGCATGAATGCGCACACACACACACACACACATACGCATACACACCACACGCATACACACATACACACATGCACACTTACGCATACTAGACTCTCGAGGGGTAAGCCAGTCAAGCTCGAACGATACCAAATCGATAGCGCAACAGTCGATTCCATGTGGAATCTGATTAAGTTAGGGTGACTCCCATCTAACTACTATAACAGGGGCAAAGACGACAACGCGGTTCAGGGAGAGGACCAAAAGGACATTCATCGACCACAGGCAGGTAGCCCGTGAATCTGCCATCAAGCATATTTATGTTGGCCATGGCTGCTAGCCCCTCCTGCTCAAGCGGTCTCGCAATAGCAGAGAGACACGGAGAGACACACAAAGGGACGTGCAGAGAGAGGCACACAGAGACTCAGAGAGAGAGAGAGAGAGAGAGAAATGCAGAGAGACACAGAGAAACACTGACAAAAACAGACACAACACACAGAGAGACACACAGAGAGACACACAGAGAGACACAGAGAGAGACACAGACTGAGACACATGCAGAGACACAGATGGAGATAGAGTCAGTCGAAGACAGGCAGGGAGACAAAGGGGCAGAGACAGGCAGGGACAGACAGAGACAGACTAAGGTGGGCACCTAGCCAGGCAGGCAGGCAGGCAAGCAGGCAGACAGACAGCCACGAGAGCATGTAGTAGTGGAAGCTATCCTGGCATACACTAACTCACACTTGGACATGTGTATATATATATATATATCATTACACATATACATATGCAAACGCACACGCGCACGCGAACACACACACACACACACCCATGCATTTGCCCTGGGTGGTGATTGCGAGGACCGCCGGCCACCCTCGACAACGGCAGAGTTGGATGAGGATTGTGGTGATGCAAGAGATCGTATTTGTGTGCGTGGATGTGTCTCCAAAGAGGGGAACTTCCCCCAGAAAAAACAATGGTTTCCATCCGGTTTCCCTCTAAGCCAACCCCCGCAGGGATACCCTCAAAATAATCACGTTTGTGTAAACATGTTAGCCCACGCCGCGCAAGCAAATTGCAGTCTCTCCCATCAGGACATTGTGAGGGTCGCGGATGACGAGCCAAAGAGTGCAAAGGACTGCCACGTTTCCGGGTGGCAAGTTTATTGGGCAGGGGGGTGAGAAATCCACAACATGGCCTCTACTATTGCTGCAGGCATCTGGATTTCGTGACCAAGAATCCAAACCGCTGTCAGCCTTTCCTGGGATTTATTGCGCAAATGTTTTCCTTTTTTGCTCAGATGGTGGGCACACACATTGGTAAGTTGAATGTTTAGAGGGATTTGCATTGCTGAACGCTGGACTGCTTTTGATGCCCATAGGGCTGCTTGCCATACCGATAGGGGGTTCAAGAGCAGGAGTTTCAACGAATTCGAATTGACAATTACTTTCGATGGAGCCTTTTGTCAGATTCGGCCATTTTGAAATGTCAAAGGTGGTGCAACTAAATGTAAGATCTGCCCAACTTGCAAGGACATCCGATCACCCTCTACAAGCATGGTGTCTGACCAGGCAGGACATGCGGGGCCTTGCTCAAACAGGCCCATTCTACTGAACGTTCGCAGGATGTTGTGAGAGTCGGGGATGATGAACCAGAGGGCGCAAAGGAGCTCTATGTACTGCAATGGCAATATGATCAGCACACCCACCCACACACACACACACGCACGCACGCACGCCGCCGCCAGCCCGCCCGCCCGCCCGCCGTCATACGCCAGCCCAAGCATTGCGGCAGCAGGCACTGCAGCAGGCCAGCGAGCACGCTGCACGAACGCATGAGGCCGGGCGCGCGGGCGCGCGCCGAACGCGCGGCGGCGTGAACGCAAACCACGCCGAGCGCGAGCAGCGCACGCCGAAACGCGCGAAACACGCAGGCGAAGCGCGAAGCGTAACAAAGCCGCAAAGCCGGAAACCACACCGTGCATCAAAACGCAGCAGGAGCAGGCAAGAAGCCCGTTGCCCTCAAAGCGCGCAAAGCGCTGCGGCGCAACGGCTGGCGCTGGCTGGCGCGCACGGCAGCGGCGCACTGCGCGATGCGAGCAGGCACGGCGAAGCGAGCAGGCGAGAGCGAGCGCGCGGAAACGCGCGCCGAAACGCGCAAAACGCATATGCATGCCAGCGCGGCGAAAGCGCGCGGCAACGGCCGCTTAGTATGCCCATACACCACGCAAGCATGCAAGCGCGCAAACGAAGCATGCGCCAAACGCGCGGCAAACCGCGCAAACACGCGCTGCGCGAAACACGCCAAACGCGCAGTGAATTATTTATGAGAAGTGGCTATGTTGTATGGTACATAATTGTATGAGCGTATAGTAACAGTACAGACATGCCTTATGAACCAACATGAATACTTATGAACAGACAGACAGACTAACATGAATAGCATGACCATGAGATACCAACCAGAATAATATATGAATAACATAGTCATAGTGGCTGTAGATATGAATCTTATGAGGTTAAAAAGTAGCGAAGTAATATAATGTATGAACAGGAAATGACATAAGTGGCATCAGACAGTGACATGAACAGACCTGTGTATGAACCGCATAGACAGACAAACATGAATATGAGACAGACCATGAACTACTTATGAATACATGATATCAGGTATGACATATGGTAACAAGTATCCTGTATAATTGTATAGTATTGCCTGAAATGTATGAATACTTATGAATATTATGAATAACACTAGACAACATGAATAACATGGTAATATGAATATAGATTATGAATATAGACAAAACATAGACTATGATATATAGCATATATAGCACGCATATGGGTTCGGCTGAAATTGTATAGTGCACATAGAGCATAAGAGAAAGTGGGCAGAGGCACGGCGCAAGCACCTGCGCTCATACACGCAGGCACTATGCGCGCATGTATTATGCACTATGCGGGCACGCAGCAAGCACCCATAAATAGTATACATACACCCATAAGCACTGAGAGGCACGTATAGTGAAGCTGCTATAAGGCTGGGGAGTCGAGGGTAGGGGGCGGCCAGGCGCTGGGGCGGCGCGGGACAAGAGGCTAAGGGAGTGCGTCAAGGTATGGGGCAGAGAGCGCAGGGGCGCATAGTATGTAGTATAGTATGGAAATGTATAAGGCGTATAGGAAAACATGGTATAGGGGAAGTAGGCGGAGGAGTATATAGGGGAGTAATATAAGGAAAGGCGTTGTATAAGGAGTATAAGGCAGAGGCGTAATATATGGGAAATTGAGGCGGATAAGTATGGGCTGATAAGTCGCAGAGCGGCATAGGGTAGCCTGGGAGTGGCGCGGAGGTATTATAAGGGGAGTATTATAAGAGTATATAAGGAAGTATTATATAGAGATATATCGGAGTATTATTTCGTTAACCTGGGAGTAATAAGGGTATATATTATTGTAGAAGCGTATGAAGCGGAAGGGATGAAGCGCAGATGCGGCGCCAAGCAGAGAGGTTGCATCTGCGTTAAGAAGCGCGCAGAAGCGCAACGCCCGAGGCCAGCGGCGCGCGGCCCCGCGGAGGCGGAAGCGCGAAGCGGCGGCAGCGCATACGTCGCGTGCAGAAGCGCGGGCAGGCAGGTGACGCGCGAGGCAGACAGGCACGCGGCTGCAGGCGCGGGCAGGCGCGGCCGGCGGGCACAGGCCGCGCGGCGCCGGCGACGCTGGCGGCCTGTGCGCGGCACGCGGCCGCGCGCGCGCGGCGCGGGCGGCGGCGGCCGAAGCGCGGGCACGGCCATGCGGCCGGCGGCGGCCGGCCGGTCTGCACGACCGGCGACTACGCCCGGCGACCACGACCTGGAGCTGACCACGACCCGACCGGACCGACAATACCGGCCGACGGCCCACCACCCGACCCCAGCTCGACCCGACCCGACCACGACCCGACCACGACCCGACCACGACCCGGCCTGGCCGATACACGACACCTGAACCCGGCCGCGAACCGGCCGGCACGGTCGGCACGACGCATTTAACCGGCCTGGCGCGGCGAACGCGCGCGAACCAACAACTCCATGAAACCCGACGCCTGGGCTCACGCGCATTTAACGCGATGCGCCGAGCGCCGGCTGCCGCGAGCAGCGAACGCGGCAATGCGTAGCCGAGCAGCAGCAGCGAGCCGCCCGCCCGCCCCGCCCCGCCCAGCATGCCCGCCCGTGCCCCGCCCACGCCCAGCGCCCGCCGCACGCGCCCGCCCCACGCCCAGCACCCGCCCAGCATGCCCATGCCCATGCCCGCTTTCGCCCGCGCGCCGCCCCAAGCCAGCGCCCAACACGCCCGCATAGCCCAGCGCCTTAGCCCATAACGCCCATAGCGCCGCGAAATGGCAATGCAACTTAGCTGCCGCTAGCAAGCAATGAGCGAAACCAGCCAGGCGGGCGTAACCTTAATATAATATGAAAGCGGCGCGCAACTTGCTGTGGTAATATGGCAAATGCCTCAAAGCGAAAGCGGCAAGTAGTTGTGCAAGTGGCTTATGTAAGCGCGGGCGCGGGCGCTGGGCGCTAGCAAGCCTTAATGGCGGCGCGTATAATGGGCGTAATATGGGCGTCACATGGCCTAAATGCGCCCATACCGCCATATACGCCCGCGCACTTTCCGCACCATACCGCACCGCACCGCACCGCACCGCACCGCACCGCACCGCACCGCACCGCGGCACGACACGGCACGGCATCGCACGGCACGGCACGGCACGGCACGCACGCACGACGGCACGCACGCACGCACGCCGGCACGGCACGGCACGGCACGCACGCACGCGCGCACGCACGCATGCCCCTTCGGTTGTGAGGACCGCCTGCCACCCTCGACTAGCGTAACGTCGGATGAGGCAGTTTGTTGTGATGCAGAATAGTGATTGTGCGCGTGTACCAAGCAAATACACCCAGTCAGTGCCCAGATGGAATGGCAGGATGTGGTGAGGGTTGGGGATGATGAGCCGGAGGGCGCAAAGGAGCGTCGTGTTTGGCAAGTTGCACAAGTTGTGAAGGCAGATGCCACCACAGAACCACCACTGCTTGATAGAGAGCAGAAAGTATTCGTTCGCAGCAATTGCAAGGACCGCCCGCCACCCCCAACAAGCAACGCCGCCGAGAAGGTGGATCAGGTGAGCCCGCTTTCATTACATGACCCGATTGATTGACCTGCAGATGCATCTGAATGCTGCAGAGTCATGACTGGCAGGAGCATATGGCGCCTTCAACGAGTAGCGAGGCAGACGTGTTGCCCTGACATGCAACCGATTCACAGCTGCGTTGGGTTGCATTTGCGACAGGCAGACAAGATGCAGTCCACTGCGCAGGTGAAATTCGCAGTTACACGGTATATGCAAAACATTCATGGCAGGGTGTGCAGGTGCACTTGGAGGCCGTTAAGGACGCAGCAGTGGTAGTTTAGACATGCTGGTGACTGAGTGTTGAAGAAGATTCAATGAGTAGTATTGAGAAGAAATCTCGCGCATACCAACATCACACATGGACATGTGGCGAGTAAGCGACAGGAGGACGACACATCTGTTTCTGTGACTGAGTGCCGCACTGAGCTTTTGCATCTTACTGCACGCGTATTTCCAAGAACTTGCCACGCTGGCAGACTGAAAGAGTTGTGGCGCTGAGTCGTGGCATTGCATCTGCATTGCATCGTTCTCACGTTGGCAAAGGACAGCTGCACAGATGTCCGCAGACGCAGCGCGCCACTCGGCCTGCCGATGGAGCTTCGCATGCGACGCTCGAGGCCCCAAGAGATGGGCCAGCAACCCAGAAAATATGTCTTGGCCTCCGCCCGGGTTCGACTCTGCCAAGGGCAAGCAACTTTAAGCGGTTGGGAGAATCCTTGCCTGCTTCGCAGCAAGCAAAAACCAGCAAAGCAACCTGTTTTGCAGTGCGAAGGCATCCACCTGGTGAGTCTGACCTGAGTCAGAGCTTCGGGTCGGTGCAGGAGACGGGTAAATGACAAGCTGAAAGCTGAATAATATTGTACCTACTGCTTTCAACGGCATCTTGTGCAAAACCAATACTTGCGGACAAACCAGGTATTGCAGCCTCGTTGCGTGTCTTTACAAGAGGAGCTACCTACGCGGCATCCCCCTAATGCAGTGGCGCCCATTCCCACTGCAGAGCCCGGCACCCAACAAAAAATACATGAGACTGCATCCATGACGAACCATGCCAAGCAGTTGTGTCGGAAGACTGGGACAACTCGACTCGAGTTTGGATTGGGATCGTTTGCAGGCCACAGCTCAAGGCGCTGGGCCAGGCAAAGCAATGAGACCTGTTTGAACTGCGGTTCGCGCTGGGAACGATTGAAACTGGGTTCGCCACGACTGACAGTTTTGGGCTGAATCCACTACGCAGGTGCAAGCGTTGCCACCATGCGCAAAGCCTGAGAGTTCCCGCCAGAATGAGCAACGCCGAAATAGCATCCATCCTGGGCGAACTGCTAGCGTTCCTATCAGACACTAGACTTGTTGTTGTGACCTCTGTCCACCATTTCCCGTCACACTGAGCACACTTAAAGAGCTTTATGCACAGTGGCAAAGACTCTGCGTTCCCATTTGGCTTCTCAGTTGGGAGAGCAACGACCCTGTAGACCTAGCTCGTTGGACGTGCAGTAAGGCTGCACAGAAACAAGGCAGTGAGTGACTGGATTGGATCAAATGCCGAAAGGCAGCCGAGCATTCTGTGCAAGTCCACGCAGAGGCTGCGCCGGGCTCTCATGCTGTGCTGTCACTGGAGCTGGGACAGATACAGGACTGGCTAGGCAATGCTCGGGCAGGGTGTGAGCATCAGGCCTGCCAGTGCTGCGCCTTCCACAGCTGCGCCAGCACCTGTATCTGCAGAACAGGCGGGCACAGCTGCTGAGGGATGTTGCTGGTGTGGATTTGTTGGGAATGATGGGCTTTTGGCATCAGTACAAATGCAACCAGCAGCCCAAACGTGCTTATTTTGATATGGCTGGAGGGTGCAGCTCATGCAGAAGTCCAAGTAGAAGTCACGCCGGGTTCCAATGCCGTTGTGTTGCTGTCAGTGGAGCCGCAGAGAACAGAGCAATTGTGCCAATGCGGTGTTCCAAGGCAAGCCCCAAGTGTGCCGCAGCAGGCAAAACACTTCACGCATGACCTGCTGCGAGCTGTGAATTGTTGGCCGTGTGAGATCGTGTGAGCGTGCTTGGTTTGCAGAATCTGGGATCAAGAAGTGCTTACGCCAATGGGTTTGTGAGGCGTCAGACGTGAAGGTGGAGTCAGCAGATGCGCCCACGCCCAAGGGATGTTTGGCATTGCAAGAGCAGCGGCATGTAGCTGCTGAAGATTTGATACGCAATGCCCGGGCAGGGTGTGAGCTTCAGGCCTGCTAGTGCTGCACCTTCCACTGCTGCACCAGCACTTGTATCTGTCGAACAGGCTGGCACAGCTGCTGAGGGATGCTGCTGGTAGATTTGTTGGGAATGATAGGCTTTTGGCGTCAGTACAAATGAAACCAGCAGCCGAAACGTGCTTATTTTGATATGGCTGAAGGGTGCAGCTCATGCAGAAGTCCAAGTAGAAGTCACGCCGGGTTCCAATGCCGTTGTGTTGCTGTCAGTGGAGCTGGCGCAGAGAACAGAGCAATTGTGCCAATGCGGTGTTCCAAGGCAAGCCCCAAGTGTGCCGCAGCAGGCAAAACACTTCACGCATGACCTGCTTCGAGCTGTGAATTGTTGGCCGTGTGAGATCGTGTGAGCGTGCTTGGTTTGCAGAATCTGGGATCAAGAAGTGCTTACGCCAATGGGTTCGTGAGGCGTCAGACGTGAAGGTGGAGTCAGCAGATGCGCCCACGCCCAAGGGATGTTTGGCATTGCAAGAGCAGCGGCATGTAGCTGCTGAAGATTTGATACGCAATGCCCGGGCAGGGTGTGAGCTTCAGGCCTGCTAGTGCTGCACCTTCCACTGCTGCACCAGCACTTGTATCTGTCGAACAGGCTGGCACAGCTGCTGAGGGATGCTGCTGATGTAGATTTGTTGGGAATGATAGGCTTTTGGCATCAGTACAAATGAAACCAGCAGCCGAAACGTGCTTATTTTGATATGGCTGGAGGGTGCAGCTCATGCAGAAGTCCAAGTAGAAGTCACGCCGGGTTCCAACCCCTTTGTGTTGCTGTCAGTGGAACTGGCGCGGAGAACCAGAGCAACAATTGCGCCAATGCTGTGTGCCAAGGCAAGCCCCAAGTGTTGTGCCGCAGCAGGCAAAACACTTCACGCATGACCTGCTGCGAGCTGTGAATTGTTGGCCGTGTGAGATCGTGTGAGCGTGCTTGGTTTGCAGAATCTGGGATCAAGAAGTGCTTACGCCAATGGGTTTGTGAGGCGTCAGACGTGAAGGTGGAGTCAGCAGATGCGCCCACGCCCAAGGGATGTTTGGCATTGCAAGAGCAGCGGCATGTAGCTGCTGAAGATTTGATACGCAATGCCCGGGCAGGGTGTGAGCTTCAGGCCTGCTAGTGCTGCACCTTCCACTGCTGCACCAGCACTTGTATCTGTCGAACAGGCTGGCACAGCTGCTGAGGGATGCTGCTGATGTAGATTTGTTGGGAATGATAGGCTTTTGGCATCAGTACAAATGAAACCAGCAGCCGAAACGTGCTTATTTTGATATGGCTGGAGGGTGCAGCTCATGCAGAAGTCCAAGTAGAAGTCACGCCGGGTTCCAACCCCTTTGTGTTGCTGTCAGTGGAACTGGCGCGGAGAACCAGAGCAACAATTGCGCCAATGCTGTGTGCCAAGGCAAGCCCCAAGTGTGCCGCAGCAGGCAAGACACTCAACGCATGACTTGCTGCAAGCTGTCAATTGTTGGCCGTGTGAGATCGTGTGAGCGTGCTTGGTTTGCAGAATCTGGGATCAAGAAGTGCTTACGCCAATGGGTTTGTGAGGCGTCAGACGTGAAGGTGGAGTCAGCAGATGCGCCCACGCCCAAGGGATGTTTGGCATTGCAAGAGCAGCGGCATGTAGCTGCTGAAGATTTTATAGCCAGTGAGCCGCAGGCCTCCTGCGCCAGCTCCTGTATCTGTGGAGCAGGCCCGCTGATGGATGCTGCAGATTTACAGCTCTGCGTTTGGGTTCAATGCCTGAGGCTGTGACTGTGTCAAATGATGACTCGCCATGCTCTCAGTGCTTTGGTCGACGTGCGTTGTACACATACGCACACAGGCAGTGAACGCAGATGCCTGTTGCACACACACACACACATATCACATGTTGTATGTATGAACACACCTGCACTCATGCATACTATTATATATGTGTATGTGCCCATGCAAGACCAACCCTCATAACATAAGGGCTGCCAGAGTTTATCCCTGCGCAAATGGCAGAACCTAGCAACGCGTACACACTCGCGAATAATGTGAAGGGTGACTGGACAACAAGGTTGGACAGAAGTTCGTGGGTTTGCAGCACTGCCTGGGCGATTGTAGCCATTTCAGTTCGACTTACCAGCCTTTGGCTGTGATGCCTGGACCCTGGCTAGAGCCAAGATTGGATGATGAGTTTTTCAAAGCAGTGGTGTTCAACGTGGGCGAGCTATGGGAAATCAGAGTTTACGATGATGAAGGGCATGGGCAAGGCACTGTTGTGGTTTCTGTCACCAAAGGCTTGAAGGTCGCCCGTGAGGGTGCGTGGATACAAGCCTCGTATGTGGCTGCCTCTGACCAGTTCTACAGGTGGTGGATGTCAGAGGGAGAAGGCGCACGTCTTCGAGCACGGGGTGTTTACCACATCTGCGGGACAGATGCAGTTACCTGCACTGCGGTGAGAGCTCGTGAGAAACCGATCCACACTGACCGGCTTCGTTCCCTTGCCCTTGGTGACCTGACAAGTCCAGCAGTGCCCTGGCTGAGCAGCCCCGAGCCTAAAGCCGAAGTCGCGGCCTTCTTGTCCGCTCGGCAGGCTGAGGCCGACCCTGTGACGCGTGGAGATCGGGACGGCCTCCCGGCCATAGAGTGGCCTGTGGATGGAGTGGGTGATGCAGAACCTTCCAGCGGCTCCGCCAGCAGCGACAGTGAGTCTGAAGAAGGGGTGGTCCTCAAAGAGAAGTTAAGGATTCTTCAGAAAGAGCTTGACGGCCGAGCTAAGAAAAAGTCAAAGCAGAAGGCAAAAAAGGAGAAGCAGAAGAAGAAGAAGGTGGATGGCGTTGATCGCGGACGGAGCCCGGAAAAGAGAGAAGGGCGCCACAAAGATCGGCGACGATCTGAGGGCCGAGAAGAGCGTGAACCAAAGGAGAAAGGCCATGGAGCAAAGCGCCACAAGCCTGGGCGCCGAGCTTTGTTTGCCCCGGCAACAGAAGCCAGTGACAGTGGCCGGGATGAGCCAAAGTCTTCCCGTGCTGCAAAGGAGGATCATGGCCCGTTTGGTGCCGGACCAGGCGTGAGATTTTGCGAGGATGCCGAGTCTGATGGTGAGTCCGACTCGCTTTTTCGCAAAGCCCCCTCTTCCACCACCAAGCAGATGAAGCTGGTGAGGTATGCTCAGGCTCGGCCGGGCCGCCTGGCATCTCGGCTCTTGCTGAAGATGCACGAGGCGGTGAGTCAGGAAGGGGGGGCGGAAAGCGCTGCAGGAGGTGTGAAGACTCCGGCGTCAGCGACTCCGTACTTTCTGGGGATCATGATGACCAACCTCAGGGACCGCATGAATCTTCGGAGTCAGAGAGAGCTTCGTACACTGGCGCTGCTGCTCGATCTTCTGGCTCGCGGCAAGGCCGCCCACGCAGCAGATCTTGCAGCGCAGCGTGTCAAGGCGCTAGAGAAGTCAATCCAGGATGGATCATGGGCGCGCGCGCAGCATCTGGAACTGCTGCCACCGGAGAACGCAGGCTTGACCGAGAGGGACAAGGAGGTGTACATGACCAGCCAGGCCCTCTTGGACCTCAAGCTGCAGAGGGCGGTGAAGAGCGAGAGTTTCTGGCCCGAGGGAAAGGGCAAGAGCAGCGAGCGGTGGAAGGCCCAGGGTCCAAAGGGGAAAAAAGGAGACGGCGAGAAAGGGGACAGCAAAGGGACCTGGAAAGGAGAGAGGAACGAAGGCGGACAGTGACTGAGCGGCCGTGCAAGACGTCACTCACGGCCTGGAAGCTGGGTGTCTCAGCTTGGATGTCAGAACCGAAGACAATTCAAGACTTATCAGAAAGGCTGGAAAGTTGGCTGTTTCAGTTACCCTCCCCGCTCGGGGAGGTGGTGAGAGGTGCGGAGGCGCACACCACACCACCCTTGGCCGCGTGGCCTGACGGGAAAGTTGAAGAGCTTTTCCCAATGCACGCTGCCGCAGTGACTGCCACATTTTGCGGGGACGACCCTCATGTGGCAAGTTGGGTGCGGGCAGCGATCCATTGTCTCAACTACATGTACATGACTGGCCAGCGATGGAGGAACCATTCGCGCGTGTCACCAGTGCTCAGGCCCTCGCAGATCCAGGTGGTGGAGCATCTGGCAAATGCCGTCACAGGCTTTATGCAGGACATGTGTAAGTTCCCCAAGATGAGCACTTGGGCAGCCAGGCTAGGTTCCCACCGCTATGACTATGCCGGAGAGCCAAAACAGGAGCAATGCTGGCGGCGGAAGGGGAGGAAGGCGGCGAACTGAAATGGCTACAATCGCCCAGGCAGTGCTGCAAACCCACGGGCTTCTGTCCAACCTTGTTGTCCAGTCACCCTTCACATTTTGCAGCACAAGGCCATGCTCTGTTAGCGCTTTTACACGCCACCACACCACAAAGCAGCTCAATGTGCCAAGCAAGTCAGGACTTGCGCATTCTATGGGATAGTGCTAACAAACGCCAGGCACGGGGATCCCCCGGTAAGTAGCTCAAGAGCGCAGGCCTAAGCGCCCCCAGGTTTAGGAACCATTTGCACATTGCCCGCTCAAGTCCTGACTTGCTTGGCACATTGAGCTGCTTTGTGGTGTGGTGGCGTGTAAAAGCGCTAACAGAGCATGGCCTTGTGCTGCAAATGGATATAGGCACAAGTCACGAGTATCTCCTGTGCTGCTGCATCAGGAAATCGGATGGCCTCCTTCAGAAGGTGGAGACCGCGGTTTCGGATGCTGTTGGAGGCATGGAGACTGGCGCGATAGATGTTGGCATGCTTGTGGGCTCGGCGCATGCCTTGCAGCTGCCGCAAGGTTTGGAGCAAGCTCCAGAAGCAGTGGTGCAAGCTGGGACAAATGTGATGAAGGCAGGCGTCAGCTGTTCAAAACGCTTGATTCTGTTGACTGCGGTGCGGTGACTGCGGTGGCTGCGGTGACTGTGGTGACGGCGGTGGCACTGCAGGAGGGTGCCGAAGAAGTGGGGAAGATCCTGAAAGCAGCGGAAGGCGCTGAGCAAGGAGGTCAAGCCATCGTGCAAGGAGTGAAAGACATGGCAGCCCAAGCTGGCGAGATGCTATCTCAGGAGGCCAGGCTCAAGAGGACACGAGCACGCATTCTTGCATGTGTGCGAGATGAATTTGTTGTTGCGGATTGGGGATTGTTGCAATTTGGATTCATTGTTTCCCGCTCGAAAGTGAGCAAATCTAAGCACTGCAGGGGACAGAAGTGTATTTCGGAAAAGGAAGTCCGGGGACGCTCTTCTCTTTGTTCCTCAGGTCGCTGAGGTGAAGCAAGTGCTGCCTGTGAGCTAGGTAGCGGACAGATTTGCTTGACCCGAGTGAGAGAATGCGAGACAGAACAAAGATGTTTGAACAGTAGACTGTAGACCGCCTTGCGATCTCCCAGTGGGCTTCAGGCGAACAGAGTGCATTGCTTGCTGTGTCCACGACAGCAGGAGTATCGCAGACATTGAAGTCTGGCTTGGTTGGCAAGTTGAGCACGAACATTCAAGAACGGAGCAATGCCAGAAGAGCTCCTGTATGCGATTCTTGTGGACTATGTTTGCACGTCTTGAGTAACAGCCCGGATTAGTTCAGGTTCTTTAGATGTGGCTTATTGCGCTGGTTGCGTGTTTCCTACTGTTCTCTACGCGCTCATTTTTGTCGGCTGCGGAACGGGCGATCTACGACGCCTGGGATGCTCGATCCACCCGGGAGATTTTCCTGAATTTCGCCACATCTCCAGCCTCTGATGCTGGCTTGGCTAGCACAGCCGCAGCCAGGGCAGCTGAGGCAGCGATCCTGGATGCGGTGGATGTGTCGGACACGGACATTGCGCAGCTTCGGAGGCAGGGGGCAATGCAAAGAAGACTAGAGCCACAATCAAAGCCCGGGTAGATTAAGGTTAGCAAGGGACAAACGCGACCATAAATAGCTGCGGCCGCCTTCAAAGTTCTTTGCATGGTTCTGGGTCGACCATTTGAATACCAGGTTTTGATTATGACTCACTAAGACTTAGGGTTTAGGGCTGTGCCCAGCCTTGCTTGCGCCAGCAAATCGCCCAAGGCTCGAGCAGCGCCTCACTGATGGCACTTACAACCCCGCGTGGTTGGCTGCCCGGCGTTGGAGGCTCACGGCTGGCCGCTTCGTTGACGTTCGTAGAGTCGGGAGGCACAAAGAGTTGGCCAAGGGGTGGCTGGATCAGTGGTGGTACCGAGGTCAGGAGCGCTTGAATCACAAGATCAATCGATCAATCGCTTTTGAGGACCGTATGCTGGAGAGATACAGGCAGACACATGCGGGAGTTCAGAGTGTTGGCTTGCTGGTCTCCAAACAGTTTCCGTGGTTGGGAGCGTCGCCGGATGGATTGGTCATGTCAGGTGATCAGCCACAGTACCTCATCGAGATCAAAAGTATGAGAGCATCCTTGGGCAAGAAGTCCCCTGCATGGCATCAGATGCAAGGGGCCATGGCCATCGCTTCTGATGCCTTTGGAGTTCCTGTCGAGTCATGCAAACTCATCGACCCCGTGGAAATTTACAACATCCGGTTCGACAAACCCTGGTGGGACAGGTACCTGGTACGGCTACGACACTTCTACTTTGGAACCTACCTGCCGATGGCTGCGAAGCGCATTCTTCGAAGACTCAGCCAATGACATGGGCGTGATGGAGCTTTGGATTGCTTTGCCTTTGCTTTCGCGCTCAAAGCTTTTTGCACCTCTCAAAGCATACTGCAACAAGAGCTCCGAAAAGGAACACCGTGTCCAGTTTGGCAATGCGGATTCTGCCAGGCTGTGCGAGGACTTGGCTTCTCCGATGGCCGGCTCCCCGAATGCAGCGACGGCAAGGGCATGCTTTGCACGGAAGAGGACCAAAGAAGTTCATGCGAACCGAGCAGGCAAAACACATGTCCAATGTACATGTAGGTTTTTTGGTGTTGGCAGAAAGTCCGCGGAAGCTGCGAGATTCACCTCAAACCTGTGCTATCCGAATCGCACCGGAGCCAAACAACCAGCGCTCGAGAGCTGGATTTGTTTGATGCAGCATTTGAGTGTTTGATAGCATTTACTCGGGTCTGGGCTGCCTGGGTGAATTAGGGGAGAGCCTGTTGAATGCGGACATGCAACTACACTGCATGATGAATTGAGCACGCTCGGCTCAAAAACCGGTTGTGCTTTGTTAATGTAATCACAATTCAACTCGGCAGCTGAACGCGCCTTGGCAAGTGATAGGTTCTGTGTCCTTTCGTGCCATTGAAACCTGTGCCAACGGCATAGATGCCTAAGCGCAAAAGAGAGCTTTTCAGGTGAGCCTGGATCATCAGAGTTGCCGAGATGTTTACTTCAGTATCATCATCGGCGTTAGCCTCAATATTATGATTCTTAGCACACGGCAGTGCCATTCGCCAAGATGTCCCGCGTGTCCACGCTCTTTGCGCGGAACGACATGTACAAAGCAGCTTGGGTCTAGAAGCAACGTGTTTGAGCTGAGGTATGTTATGGTTTGTTGAAAGCAATGGAAGCCCCACAGGAACAAAGCGACCTCTTCAATGACGATGACCATCAGGCCACGGATGTTGTGACACGTAGTACATAGTTTCTGCATAACACAGGCTGAAGAGTGCAGACAGTCTCAGGCTTGCTTGTTTGAATTCCGTTGCTGCCAGTCCTGGCCTGAACCGCACGATCGAAGATTGTCAGTGACCCTGCCTTGGTTAAGAGAAGAAGGGGATAGGAAAGAGAGAAAGGCGAGGAAGGAGAGGAAGGAGAGGAAGGAGAGGAAGGAGAGGAAGGAGAGGAAGGAGAGGAAGGAGAGGAAGGAGAGGAGGGAGAGGAGGGAGAGGAGGGAGAGGAGGGTGAGGAGGGAGAGCGGGGGGAGAGGGGGGGAGAGGACAGGGAGAGGAGAGGGAGAGGGAGAGGAGAGAGGGAGAGGAGAGAGGGAGAGGAGAGAGGGAGAGGAGAGAGGGAGAGGAGAGAGGGAGAGGAGAGAGGGAGAGGAGAGAGGGAGAGGAGAGGGGGAGAGAGAGAGGGGGAGAGGAGAGGGGGAGAGGAGAGGGGGAGAGGAGGGGGCAGAGGGGAGGGAGAGCAGAGCGAGAGGGAGAGGAGAGGGAGGGGAGAGGGAGAGGGAAAGGAGAGGGAGGAGGAGAGGGAGAGGAGAGGGAGAGGAGAGGGAGAGGAGAGGGAGAGGAGAGGGAGGGAGAGGGAGAGGAGAGAGGGAGAGGAGGGAGAGGAGAGAGGGAGAGGAGAGAGGGAGAGGAGAGGGAGAGGAGAGAGAGGAGAGAGGAGAGGAGAGAGGGAGAGGAGAGAGGGAGAGGAGAGAGGGAGAGGAGAGAGGGAGAGGAGAGAGGGAGAGGAGAGAGGGAGAGGAGAGAGGGAGAGGAGAGAGGGAGAGGAGAGAGGGAGAGGAGAGAGGGAGAGGAGAGAGGGAGAGGAGAGGGAGAGGGGGAGAGGAGAGGGGGAGAGGGGAGGGGGAGCAGAGCGAGAGGGAGAGGAGAGGGAGGGGAGAGGGAGAGGGAAAGGAGAGGGAGAGGAGAGGGAGAGGAGAGGGAGAGGAGAGGGAGAGGAGAGGGAGAGGAGAGGGAGAGGAAAGGGAGAGGAAAGGGAGAGGAAAGGGAGAGGAGAGGGAGAGGGGGAGGAAGAAGGAGAGGGAGAGGGGGAGGGGGAGAGGAGAGGGAGTACAAGTTGTTGGGGGCGAGATGGCCAGGGCGAAAAGGCTGTGGGACCATGGAGCCGGACAGAGGCGCCCGTTCAAGCTTTGATCCAATGTGCCCGTCACTCGCACCCTGGGTTTGTGCACAGGCCGAACATCAGGCAGCAAGTGCAGTCTTCTTAAAAGCGACAGCGGCCGACATCAATTCTGCGCGCTCGCGTTGAGGTCAAAGCAATGCTTCAGAGTGAGCTCCGCCGTGAAAAGCCGTTGGGGGAGGCACCGCGGGTTGAACTTTGAATGTGGTGGGGGCAAGAGTGCCACATCAGTTTGGCAATCCGTCAGCAGCTGCACCACAACGCAATCGCTTTGTAGCACCCTTGTCAACATCGCCCTGACTAGGATCCCAATCATCCCCAGCCACCAGCTGCGACCAGCTTTTTGGTTCCAGCCAGGATTTGCTTTCCTCTCGTCACAATTGGCTTCAGCTATTTGCAGGACTATACAAAAATTTCGTGGATTCTGGGCACCCATGGTGAATCGGATTCTTGAGGCATGTTTTCTTATACAGCAAGTCGGCCAAAGAGGCTCTTTACAAGGCTTTGGCACGTTGCAGGCTGAAAGCCCACAGCTTCCGCCGGAGCGTTCAGAACGGGAGAGAAGACGCCATCGCCGCCGAGATGAAGGTGTTCGCCTCGGAAAACGCACGGCAAATGGTGCAGGGGACGTGCACGCATGGTCAAATCACCCTTTTACTTGAGGTTGTGGATGGTGATCAGTCCCTTAGTGGGGAATGTGGACGATTGTCAAGGGTCTTTATACAGAGAATCATGGCGGCCCCACATGAGAAGTTTTGACCGTGGCACCTGGGGAAAACACGGGGGGGGGGGGGGACCCTTTGGAACACTGAACTCTGTTGACTTCTGAGGCGGTGCAGTGTTTGACTTTCCACAAGACTGGCTTGCACCTACGAAGAGCCCAGTCCAGAGGAAGTTGATGTTTGGTTTGTTTGGCATGTTCTCATGTGGCATGCTTCGGAGAGCATCTTCATGAAGAGGTTTGCTGGATTTGCAGGAGCGCCGAGCGTGCGGACGTATGGCCTCCAGCCGAGTCCTCGCTATTTCCCATTCCAAGTGCGTGTGACAGGTTTCATTGCAGCCCTCCTTGTGCAAAAAGCGAGGTTACGCCATCAACGCAGGCAGCCTCACCCATCCCAACACATGCGTGGCCGATGCTGGAGCGGCAGCTCGCGTTTGCGTCCATTGGTTCTGCTGGATTGACCGTAAATTTGGGCCATCACGTGCACCGGCAATCCAGAGAGACCATGCGACCTGAAAAGTCTTGCGTTCCGCTACATGATTCCAGCTTGTGGAGTAACGTACCTGCGCTCTGACGATTCTCGCTGCGAGGAGAAGACTGAGAAGCCGCAGGCAAAGGCCAAATCGCCGCAGATGAAGGACAGCTTCTTGTTTGATCCTTTCATTTCTTGTGTGACTGTCTCCAGGAAAGAAGTAGGTCGGGGTTCGGGGCTGAGGTGAGCGATTGATCTCAGGTGACTCAAATCGGTCACGCGTGTTCTGCATCAGGCCAGAAAGGTGCCCCGGTGCATTTGATGAGGCACTGGTTTGCATGTTGACAAGCATGTCAATTTGCCTTGAGGTGTTGTCGCACGCCCGCCCGCCCGCCCGCCCGTGCACGCGCCCGCTCGCCTGCCCACCCACCAACTCACCCACCCACACACAAACACATTATGGTCAAGCTGACACCACATGGTTCACAATGTGGACCTGCGCACTGTCACAGCCCAGCTAGGCCATCCTGGAAGCACTGGCTGCCTTGCCACGAGATTCTTTGGTAGATGTGCTGAGGTGCGGCGACAGAACCGAGGCATTTTCGGAAAATGACGAAAGCCAAACCAAAGCATGTCGGCATACCTGACTATCAGTTTGCCGTTGTCATTCAGTTTGGTGATGTTTTGGATGCTTGCAATGTCAGTCAAATGGCGCATTTGTGTGGTTCAAGGCAGCTTCGCGATCGAAGACCAGAAGAAGCTTCTATTGCGTTTGGCAACAGCTCAGTATTTGATCATAAGGCCGGGCTCACGCTGGCTTTGTTCGAAAGGGCTGACATGTTGTTCGTCTCAATTGTGGATGAGCGACTCTTGAACAGGTGTACATTGTTGATGCAGCTGACAAGGAATTTGCGAGATGCAGTGTCAGCCTTTCAATGTTTCCACCATGTGTTAGCGTGTGTGTGTGTGTGTGTGTTTGCAGGAGCTGGATTACCTTTCACCTGCCACTTGGCTTCGGTTCGTAGCGGAGGTCCAAGGAGCTCCGTTGGGAGAGTGTGTTGCATGCCCTTTGCACGTGGGGAAAATGAGGTCAGCACGGCGACAGGCCATAGCGATGTGGAAGTGACACGTGGATTTGAATCACTGCGAGGCATGAGTCAACTGTCTCCACCGGCTTCAGAGGCGCTGGCAATGTGGCTGTGCCATTTGTAAGGGTACCCGTTTTTGCGCGGTTTTCAAGGGAAGCCAAAAGGAACACCTCGATTTTGCGGGCGGGAGGGGGGGGAGGTTCCCTACAAAACGACAAACCCATGTGTCAAAGCCTTTGATCACTGCACAGGTGACCGGCAGAGGTCGCAGCAGCAGTGGGAGTCCAGCCGCACCCGTGGCAGTCACGTCTTCGAAGGCAAGTTTGCGAGCTGCTTTGCGATTGATGCATTTCCGAATTGAGATTCGATCAAGAGAACTGTTCGGATCGATGGAATTGCCGTTTTTTTTGGTGGGCAGGCCGTTTCCGAGCGATCCGGATCTTTCTCAGTGGCGGAAGTGGTGGCTGCTGCGGCAGATGCGGCAGGAGAGAGCCCAGCGGCTTCGCAAGGGCAAGGCGCACTTCTGTGGGAATATCAAAATTCACCACCAGGGGCCCGCAGATTTCAGTCCACGTTTCCATTCACCAGGGTTCCATTTTGGGTACCTATTTTTGACCCACAGTCCTGTCAGTTAGCCGCTGCAGTAGGGCCAGCAGAGTGAGGGCCTTTGACGCAAGGCTGGCCAGCAGACATCTCCTGGCCTGCCATGGCTGATGCGCGCGCATCGTGGGAAGCCCGAGCCGTTGATTGCCTGGTTCTTTGCCTGGCTGCTAGCATTTACGCAACGGGTTCTCGTCATTTTGGGGAACTTCTGCTCCATTTTGCTGGGTTGCAAAGAAACCAAGAGGAAGCAATTGCCATTCTCATACCATCATCACCACAATCCTCATTACTTACTCAGGAATTTATAACCAACTGTACACTTCTGGATTTAACACCATTAATAATCAGATATACAAGACCACATTTACATCCTCTTGCCTGGCAGTAATAACTGACCACCTTCAACGCACCGCAGGCCGGCTCCCTGGCCGCAGCTTGACGCGTGGCCAGCCCTCGAGGCGCGTCACGTGATTCGGGGCTGAGTCACCCACTGCGGAGATGCCAGGCATCCACAGATTGCTCGGCGAGCACTCAGGCTGGAGATCTATTTGGGTGTGTCTTTTTTTGAGGCTAAAGGGAAAACCACAATTTTTGGGGTCCCCTAAAAAGAGAGACCCCTCGTTTGCGTTTGCGGCAGAATTCGGCATGACAAGCCTTGAGCGCAGGTGGCAAACTGAATGTGCTGCTAAAGAGGCAAGCAACCAATGCAGCGAATCAGCAGTTTTTGCCTGCCAATCTGTAACATCAGCCTGATTGGCCTTATGTACACGAGCAAGTCCTTGTGGCATCGCTGCACAAAGTCTGGGAAAACCAGTCCCGCAGTGGAAGTGTCTGGCTAGCTTCAATTTCAAGTGAATCAGCTGCAGTTTTCGGAGCACTCAGAAGCTGCAGCTGATTGCTGTTTAGATTGCATGCGGCTGTCTTGCATGTGTGCTCTGAAGTCATTGTGGGAAGGCTTTCTAGCCGGACATTTAGCTTGTTGAATCATGACCCACGTCCCGCTATCAAGAATAGAGACCCGGGCTAGAAAGCCTCACTGACAATAGATTGACCCCTACAGCTCACTTACATGTACAGTTTGCCAGCTTGACCGCCCGTTTACGTGGAGCAGTTGGGATGAGAAGCTCCAACATGAGCTGGGCACTGCCTGCGTCAGTGTGAGAAGCGTGCAGAACAGTGGGACAAAGTCTCGACATCAAAGTTTGTGGCCGCGCAGCTCTTTGATCAAGTCGTGCACATGTAGACCTATGCAATTCCCGACTTTCTCACATGTCCAGCCCGCGCAAGGCAGCCTCCTAGCCGCTTAACCAATACACTCACAAAACTGCGTGATGGTTGTGAAAATAGAACTGACTGACCATCAGGAGGCGGGGCTTTAATTGCTTGGCCAGACGAACGCTCACACGCAAAAACCGCAGAGGGACACATTTATGGGCCTGTTGCTTATTGAAATCGCTACGCGATCCGCCGACGCCAGTGGGGTGCAAGGGATTTTAAGACCTTTTTTCTTTTTCGTGGAAGTCTGAAAGTGCCACAAGAAGGCCTTCTTGGCACTTTCCTATTTTTCAGTCAGGAAACACGTCCCAGATGCTGGGGATGCTGGAAATGCAAGGGATGCAACCACACAACTTCGCATCCAACATTTGAAGACTTTCAGACACAAAATTGACGTAACACAGAAAATACCAGACATGTCGGGAATGCTGGGAATGCAGCCGGCTGGCCACGAAAAAGTCCAAAAACCAGGATTTGTTGATATTTCCCAAAATCAACCATCAAAAGCAGATACTAGCAACCCTTCAAATACCCTAAAAATCGACATCCAAAAACACGATAATGCAGGGGATGTTTCGCAGTAACTGCTCCGTACAGGTGGGGAATTGCAAAACAAACACTCATTTTTGCAAATTCAAACAGTTCCTCAATGTATCACTGCACTCCCCACCCAGACCCCAACAGGCTGATTCCAACATCGCTTGCAACAGCAAAACGCCATTAGTATCTGCAAAAAAAGAGAGACAAATTCATAGCAGCAAGGTAAACCTGATGATGCTGGGGATGCACATCCTGCGCGTCCGGAAACCCCCGCCCCCCCCCCCCCCCTAGAAACCTGGGCGAAACGCAGGTTTTTAGCAGGCAAGCCCTAAAAACACTGGGTTTTCGACACCCAGCACACCAGACCCAAAAAATGGCAGCCCCAAAAGCCTTCGGCTTGGATCCGAAAGAAGACCAAGTTGCGGACTGCCATCTACACGCTCGACTGGCGTCGGCGGATTTGAACCAGCATGCCCCGTGAAGGCATGCCTTTGCATGCAGCTTGGGGTGTTGACCTGACTCGGCTAGGTGGATGGCGTTGTATGGTATGATGTCCAGGTAACCAACGAGCCGCGAACCTACGCTGTAGAATGACATTACAACGCGCCTCAAATCAGCCAGATTTGTGGATATTGGTACCTGAAGTGAAATGATGTCTTCTCTTGGGCGTCGGCACGCATTTGTTCTTGCCAAGTCGCAGTGTCGGCAGGAGCGGAAGGACATGGACGTTGCAGCGTCGTTACAACGACTTTTTGAGCTTGGACGAAGAGCTTCGCAAAGCCGAGTCCGGAGCCGGTCAGCTGGAGCATTGGCAACTGCGCTTGTGGCTCAGGTCGTTGGAGGTTCCTTCTCTGCCGGGGAAGCAAAGCCTAAACCCTCTCAAAATGCTAGCTGCGGCCTCAGTGGAGCATTGCAGTTGCGGTCGATGGGGTTCCTGGTTTCAGGACAAAGATGGCTTTCTTACTCGGCGAAAAGAGGGCCTCAGAGCCTATTTGCACAGCTTGGCGGCGCAAATCCAAACAACTCAGCAAGATCCGGTGCTGGAAAAGCTCCCTGGCGCGTTGTTCGAGTTTTCTCCTTTCACAGCCTTGCCATGAATCTGAGCTTGTGTCGATTTGCTGAATTTGAGGTTTCTGCAGGTGGACCTATCGTCGAAACCGTCAGGCCAACGATGCGAGAGCCCATTGCAGTCTCACGCCTGCCACGCCTGCCAGGCGACATGGAGCCTGGTCCTAGCACCAGCGTGATTGCCCCAGATTCGCCTAGGTCCAAAGAGGGCGTCTGTGTGTGTGTGTGTGTGTGTGTGTTTTTGTTTTTTTGTTTTCGGACTTTGTGACCACGGAAGTTAAAAGGTACCTCCAAAATGGATTCGAACCGTTTGCAGAGTCCAAGGTGGAGTTCACTACACGATGATGCTCGATGTGTGGAGAAAACAGATCAACATTTGACGTGGGCATTGACAAGATACTGGATTTGCACAGTAATTCCAACATGCCTGATTTGCATGTGGTTCTGCCATGACAAAAGGCTTAGTTCGGCTCAAACGCACCCTTTAGCCAACTAGACATTTTCGAATAGTTTTCTTCGTCATGAGCAGGCGACATGCGAAGGCGCCATTTGCCCCGATTTGCCCCGAAGCTTATGGCTGATTACCCCCCAAGGGACTGCTGGGGAGAAAACATATTGAAAACCCAGAGAGAGAGAGAGAACAAAAAAGATAGAAGCAGAAAGAGTTGTTGCCGTTTGACGTGTGCCAACCCAGAAAGAAGTCCCTGCAAGGTGTTACCAGCCTGCCTGATCGCTGTAGCGCTGCTCTTTTTCAGGCACGATTGTATAAGCTGAGCGAGCAAGTGCTTGTGCAGCCTGCCACTTTGAGCTATACCATAATTAATACTCGCTCAGTCAAAGGCTATGTAACGGGAGGTGTATCGACATGCTCTTTTTCTCCAAACTCTGCAGCAATGATGCCGTATTTGCAGTCCAATTCGCATTTAAGTGCAGTGGCCCGAAGGTGTACAACATTTACGACACCTCCAAGCCGCGGGGCTGCATTTGTGAGACTTACATGAATCCATGCATGTCAGTGAACGACTGGCAAGTGAACAAACGCACAAGCAGGCGCAGCACGCGTAAGCACACACGCAAGCGCGCCGTGCTTTTCACGCCCGCACGCACGCGCGCCCACCTGGACAAACTCTTCCCGGGGCAGGCTTTTGCTCACCACACACCAATTGGGCAAGCCAAGCCTCCTGCGACATTTGCCATGGAGGCGACACACGACGCGACTTCTTGCAGCAATTGGGTGCCGGAGCTGCTGTAATTGCCGCGGGGCAATCCGTTGGCGTCCAGCCAGCGAGCACGCCTCAGCATGATGCGAGTGTTTCCTTCAATGTTGTCGCATGTTGAGAAACTCGATGGATGCCCTTGCAGACGTGCAATTTGCCCAGGCAGGCCGCCATTGCCAGATGGTCTGGCATCTATGACGATCCTAAGCATCCAGGATGTGAGCGCGAAATCAGGAAGGATGGTGCAACTTGGCTGAGTGGATGCTTGCCGTTCTAAAGCCAGTTGGTGCTATTCTGTTGTGCTTTGCGGCATGTTGTAACTTTGCTGATTGATGCCAACGCTTTATGCACCGTAAGCCCTCTTGACCATTGGGGGGTCTTTGGGGGCGGTCTGAACAGTTCCCCTCCGCGCGCCGGGGTTTCCTGAGTGCGCCCCATGTGCCAGGATGAATTTGTGATTTCTGGTACTAGCGCGACAGATGGAAGCAAAGCCTGTGCTGAAGATGCTCCCACCAAGAAATGGTACTTGATTGGCAAGCCTTCGGGAGGAGGCTTTGGCGGTCCTTCGGATGAGCTCCTGGTCGAGCCTTGCATGTTATCAAATGTGGGGGGATGTGTCTTCTTCCATACTCCGGCTATGAAGATCAGTTCTAGCCCACAGGTTGCGGTTGCTCCTTGTCAGTTTCTCCTTAGCCATTGACCTTACAGCCTGGGGAGCTGTCACCAATTTCCCGAACGACACGCGGCACTGAGGATTTCTCCCCGAAGGGAGGACCCAAGGATGCCCTGGCCAAGTGGGATGGCGATGGCATTGTGTTCCCGGTGGCCCGGATGCACCGGGGGAAGCTCAGGGGGTGCTTGTGTGCACGGCGCCCAAGACTTAAGCGGTTCTACCACCTCCGTTGCATGGGGCTTCGCTGTTGAATGACAGAAACGGAATAGGTAGCGATTGAGTTCCGCTGAAGCACTCCTTCACGTCGGCCGTTGCAACTCAGGATGGCAACAGGTGGTCCAAGATCAAGCGTAAGCCGGGGCAGGCTGTGGCAACATGGGGTGACGGCCCCTCATCTCCACTGGCCAAGTTCGCCAAGGGCAAGGTGCCAACTTAGACAAGGATGAAGCAGTGTCCGAATCATGCCGTTGATGCAAAACAATCCAGCCAATCTTGCACGGCGCGTTTTGCGTTGTGCTCTTGAAACTTGTTGCACTTGCAAGCAAACTTGAATATTGCTGGGCGTCATGTGGCTGTCTTTGCGCCAAGGCGCATGTTACTCAGCGGTTCAGGTGGCATGCTGCGCACATCACAAAGTCCTTGAGCCTTTGGCCAGCCACAGCTTAATTCGAATCGAAAGCATCTGGTTCATGCTGACATCCGCGAAGCCGGCGCCGCCATGCCGCCGTATCCTGGCACGGAAGAGAACAGCTGGTGGGTGGCCCTGGGATGCACAGGTCTGGCCATAGCGGCAGTCAGCTCGGAGCAAGCCCAAAGAATCTTGCCTGACGACATCATCTCGCACACCCTCGGCAGCCTGGCTGCAAGGCTTTCAGCCAAAATTTTGATGCTTGGCCTCTGATTGGGCATGTTGAAATTGGTATGGCTCAAAATTTATCAGAGCTAGGATTGCGCACTTTGGTTCAAGTCCCGGCGAGGCTGCGGCATTCTGGCGTTGACGTTCTTCTGCATGTTCATCGTGTTCAAGGCCAGCCAGTCCAGGCACTGGAAGCCAGCGCCAAGACCGGTTGACCGGGTGGCATTTGAGGATCGAAAGGATCTGACCATAATGAAAGGTGTCGTCAAGAAGTATTCGGACAAGAAACGGTGGGGCGTCATTTCCGTACATCCTGACTCAGACTCTGAATCAGATGATGAAACCAGAGTTCGATTTTTGGAGAAAGAACGGCATCGCGCCAACCTTGCACCGGGAGATCACGTTGTCTTCAGAGCAATTGCAGATCCAGAAATGGAGGGCTGGCTGCTGGCAGAAACTGTGTGGAAAGCTGCGGGCAGCATTCAGCCAGACCCGCCAAGTGAAGGGCTGACAAAGCGTGGCTCAAGAACAAATACCTCAGAGCAGAAAAGAGAGGCGAGCAGTTGAACTAAGGCATCCATTGCTTGGATACCGAGACTGTCCTGGTTTGAGGTCACTCACTTGCTGGGACAAGTTGCTAGCTTTGCAACCTAATCTGCAAGCTGTGTGGTTGCCTTGCACAGGTTCAGTCATTTCAACATTTCCTGCAACATGGGCTCAAGTTCCGTGAGGAAGTATGAGTGGGCAGGAATAGCCTGTCAGCGCGTTCAGCGGCTCGCCATGTCTGAAGCTGCGCCGGATTTTTCTGCTTTTCTGCAGGCTCAGGCCGCTCAGGCCGGCCAGACTGAAACAGCATTAGCTGCGACAGCTCCAGAAGGGGCCGATGCAAATGCGCTGCTGCAGCAGATGGCTTTGTCTGGCTTTCCTGGCATGGCTGGAGTAGGGATCCCTGGCCTGGCTGCCGTTCCGGGCGTCGCGGGCGTCGGGGGCGTCGCGGGCGTCGCGGGCGTGCCTGGGGTCAGGGCCTCAATTCCAGCCGAAATCGGCCCGACAAATCTTGTGGCCGAGGTGCCTGTGGTGCACCCAGGGCAGGAAACTTAGAACGCTTAAGCAACTTACGCGGTCATGTGGACAAGTTGCAGGTGCTTTTGCTCTGCATAGGTACGCAGCAGCTGCCGCTGCCCTGCAGCAAAATGCAGTTGCCCTGTGAGGAGCTTACAGCAGTTTGCTTTGGGTCATGGCACTCAGCGATCCTCACCATTCTCATCTTTTTTTGTTTTTTTAGGTATGAGTCAAATTTCAACCACCAGGGGACCGCAGGTGTTAGTTCCTTGATTCCATTTACCAGGGTTCCATTTGGGTACCTATTTTGGACCCGCAGCCACCTTTCGCATCGTTATTTGTGATTTTAGCGCCTTTTCCGTTCAGGTACTATCAGGCGCTGCAAAGCTTGGCAGCTTCCGGTGCGACGGCTCAGCCTGAAGCTGCGGCAACAGGCGGGCCGAGAAAATTTTGCATCGACGGAAAAGCGCCACAAGACTTCAAGACTTCAACCCCCGGTATTTTCCTTGTGCATCCTTCCCCTGTGAGAATCTCCTGCGATGGGCGGCCTACAGCCATTTCTTTTTCTGAACTGAGCATGATATGATAAAGCGACATGTGGCTACTTGAATCGGCCACTGTTGTGTGCTCGAACTTCACAACAACTTACCATGGCTCTGGCATGCCCGCATCTCGTCAAGGAGGTGGAGGAGGTGGCTTCAGCACCAAGCCGGGTGATTGGAACTGCAAGAGCTGCGGCGATCTCCAGTTTGCAAGGAATACCAAGTACGGTACTCAAAGCAAGGGTTGGCTTGTATGTTTCTTGCAGAGGTGAGTGCTTTTCCTGCAAGGTGCCGTCGCTGCGGCGCGGACAAACCTAGTGACTCTGAACTAGCTGGACGGCCAGTTGTTGCTGCTGATGGTCGCCCAATGCGGCCTGGAGATTGGATTTGTCCCAACTGCAGTGACCACGTCTTTGCAAAGAATGACGCTTGTCGAAAATGCGGTACAACTGGCCTGTGATTACGCAGCTGATCAGCCAGTTGATTGCGCATCACGTCGCCTCAACCCCTTGTCCTGTTTTCTGCGGCATTCGGTCGTGTCTGCACTTTGCCAGGCACAACACGGCCGCCGGAGGTTTTGTCCCCGTGCCACGCTTGGCCAAATGGTGGAACCCGTCTCAATGCTGCGCATGCCAGGGCCGCCCTGGCTGCCAGAAGCACTCAGGCCGGAGTTTGCAAGCCCGCCTGGGAGGGGAGCAGGGTTTTGCAGTCCAGGTCGCGCGGGATGGAGATTGGAACTGCAAGATGTGCGGCTCGATCTGCAAATTATTTTTCAATCGCCACAGCGCTTGGAAGCGTGTGACGCATGAGGTGGGGATCTGCAATTCGCGCGGAACGCAACATGCAGGCCCTGTGTGATCAGGTTTCAGCGATGTTTATGGACACCTTTTGAAGTTTGACCGTTGCCCAGAGGATTTGTTAGTCGCCTTGCCTTAGGCGGTGCGGAGCAGAGAAGCCATCGGATGCGGGGCTCACGCCTGCGGTCATAGCCTCACAGCAAAAGATGCTCGAAGTTGGCAGATCAGATTTCAGCACAAACTCCCAGCAGGTTGCAACAGCTCCTGCGACTCCGTTGGCAGTGCCTTGCACAGCGCAGAGATTCTGACGATTGGAACCACGGGAATGAGGGGTATGTGCCCACATTTGTGACACCGAAATTCACATTCCAAGTGAAGGAGTAGAAGGCCTTCCAGTGGTATCACAGAAGTGGTTGCAGTCCCACTTTGCGCTGATAGGTGAGGAGTCCGGGGGGCGATATGCGCCCCGGTGACTGGAATTGCCCTCGTTGCCACGTCCCTGCCTCAGCGTGATCGACCTTTTGCTTTCAGCTTCTTGTGCCCGAGGACCACGTTTTTGCGAGAAACGAGCACTGCAGGAGCTCAGCATGTGGACTTGTCCATCCAACGACCCCGATTGAACAATCCAGCAAAGCGGAGTTTCATTTCAGATTGGGCTCATGTTTATGTCCATTGGTGCAATTTTCGCGGCTAGGGTTTGCACACCAACCCGCAGGCGTTGTGGAACTACACGTCCCACCGGTGCAGACATGGCCGCCATGGCGGCAGCTGGAACATTGCCCCCCACCATAGCTGCAGCCGGCGGCCAAGGAATGTTACGCAAAGCTGCGGCGTGTGTGTGTGTGTGTGTGTGTGTGTGTGTGTGTTGTGTCTTTGACTTGAGGTGGTCCATTCACTCGGCTTTGATGACTGACCACTAAGATCTACACGTCAATGTTGACATTTGCCATGAAAATACACGCTTCAGCATCTGTGAAACGCCTTGCCTCAGGCACAGATAGGTGGCGGAGACGTGCTTGCCTTAACCTCCCAGGATCCATGGTGGGCCTCTGATCCAGCTAAGCAATATGCTGATTCACCGAGGCCCGCGGAGGTGGCGGAGGAGGAGGAGATATGAAACCTGGCGACTGGCGATGCCCGCAGTGCAAAGACCTGGTCTTTGCCCGAAACGCTGCGCCGGAAGCCTCAGCAAAAGTCGCACGCGCAAAGCTCAGTCGGTCCGCCAGCCAGCCAGCCAGCCAGCCAGCCAGCCAGGGGCCAGTCTGTCTGAGTCTGTCTGTCTATCTGAGTCTATCTGAGTTTGTCTGTCTATCTGAGTCTATCTGAGTCCATCTGAGTCTATCTGAGTCTATCTGAGTCTATTTGAGTCTACTCTATCTGAGTCTATCTGAGTCTATCTGAGTCTATTTGAGTCTATCTGAGTCTATTTGAGTCTATTTGCGTCTATCTGAGTCTATCTGTCTGCCTGCCCGTCTGTGATCAGTGAGTCAGTGAGTCAGTGAGTCAGTGAGTCAGTGAGTCAGTGAGTCAGTCAGAAAGGTGGTTGGCTGGTTTGTATTGGAGTGAAGGCATGAGGGGCAGTGAGGGTCTGCGTGCATTAATCAATTGAAACGACAGATTCAATTTCTTGGCATTGCTTGCAATCGCACGCAGCATTTGCGCTGAATGATAGGCACTGTAGCTTCTAAAGGCTTCACTTTGATTCGGAATGGGAAAGAACGTGCAACTTTACTCTGGGATTCTTGCTTCTGACTGGTTGCCGCTGTTGCGCTTTCAAATCGCTTTGCGGACACCTGCAATTGCCGCGATGCTTTTGGCAGGCTTTAGTTGGTGCAACGAGGCATGGAGACTTGCAGGCAACTTCTGTTTCTGAATGCAGACAGTCAACTTGCTCATACTAGAGGTTTTTGTGCCACCCAGCCCGACTCGTGTTTTTTTGGTTGGGAGCAAGCGGCGACTTGGGCAAGCGGCTTGAGCAAAAGGCTGCTTACTTGGGATGATTTGTGAGGAAACTGAAGGCAAGGTTCAAGTGTGTTCAGCCCCCGTAGACTGCAAACCTTCGAGAGCAGCACACAGGATTTCAAGCGAGAGCGGCGGCACCTTTGAGACCTTGTCCCACTTCAAAGAGACCGCTTCAACATTGCAGAATCGATTCCATCTCCTGACTCAGACTGCGTGACATTTTTCTACGACCCAAACACGCAGTGAATCCTTTACAAAGAAAGCATCCCACATCGCTGGTCATACAACTTTTTTGTTTTGGGCTTAGACTAAAAGTGACTAAAAAGCTTCCGCACTTCAATCATTCTGTGTGACTCAGGTGCCGGAGATGTGGAGCAACGAGGCCGGCTGATCGATCGTCACGGGCTGAGACCATGTCAGTTGCGGCATGCGTCAGGGTGTGCTTTGAGGGTATGTTTGTCGGCGTTGGTTCAAAGAGATACCGAAAGGAGAGTGGTAGCCACTTTTGCAGGTCCCTCTGTTGTGACGCCAACAGTTGCCGCTTGATTCGCGGCTCGAATTCGCGCATCCAAGGCGAAGTCCAGTTCGATAGAGGACTCGCTAGGTGCGCCAGGGGACTCGATGCAAGGCACATTTTAAGTTGACCCCGGACGAAGCAACCCGGATCAATGAAAAGGGGGGGGGTCCCCCAAAGCCCTCAAGAAAGATGGGTATGGGTCAAATTAAGCCACCAGGGGACCGCAGGTTTTGGTCCATGTTTCCATTTACCAGGATTCCGTTTCGGGTACATATTTTTGACCCACAGCCACGGGTGGGGGTCACCCCAACGCCCCAAAGAAATCCACCAGTTTCTTCATTCGACTGCCAGGCACCGTGCCGGGACTTGAGCGCCCGAAGTATCAGGGAATTAAAGAGAAGCTGTGGTGTGGCAAGGGCATGGAGAGTTGTCACACTGCGGCATATTGTGACTTGTCTATTGGAGCTAAAAAGGTGCATCTCTTGTGTCAAGAGGCCTGGCTGCACATTCGCGTGAGGCATTGCGGCTTTGTGACTGCTCATCCGCAGGCTTTCGCGTCATCAGGATACTATTGGTTTAGTGAACATTTTGGCACTTGCGAGTCCCATGCACTTGCCAAACATACTAAGCTACGCAAAGATGCATAGCTCACAGGATAACATGATCCGTTGATGAAGAAGCACTGTCTTCAACGATAGGTTCACTCTAGTTTGGCTGTGCATCAGTGAATTTCATAGCTCACAATGTAGAGGCCGTGCCTGACATGATGGGCAATGAGCCATGCCAGCCGCAGCTCAAGAGAGTGGGATGAGATCGGTTCCACGCACAGCCAGATTCCACAAGGCTCCCCCTTGTGGCATGCTGGCCCGACGGCGCACCTGGCAACAAACGTGGAACTCGTCCATGAGCCAGGACAGCTGCAAGTCCTTTTGAAGCAGGACGTCACCAGCCCGGCCCAAGATCTTGACTGGACAAGTTGTGCAGAGCTCAAGATCCAAGCTGCTTTCGATTTTATCTACCACCTTCCTCCTGTCATTCAGCCTGGGACACTGGTGAAGCAGAAGTCAACAGAGCCTGAAGCCGAAGATGCGCTGAGAAAAGGCAGCTCCCCCGAGCTAGACTCACGTGTGCCCAGTCCCCCCCCGGTCTCCTCTCCTTCGAGGGGTCCCCGAAGACGAGCTGGCGTGATGGGAAAGCCTCAAAACGACGAGCGGAGAACTGCGGAGTTGTACTTCGCAGAAGCCAATCGCTTGCGCAGCTCCTTGACTGCGGCGGTGGTCAGAGACATCTGCCGGCAGATTTACGATGCCGCGATTGTGGAGATTCCGCCCTGGAATCTTCGCATCAGCAGTGTTGAAGCCGTCAGACCCCTACAGCGGATTTGGATGCCTTTGCATGCAACATTATGGGTGTGTGTGTGTGTGGATCCCCCCGAAAAGCAAACAAACAAGCAACTAAACCGACAAGCAATAACAATGTGGTTAGAACCACAAAAAGGGGTAGTCTTAAAAAACAACAAATCTGTTAAAACCACAAAAAGGGGATAGTCTCCAAAAAAAGACACGCCCTTCTGCAGCAACTCTAGCTTCTTTTTTTTTTGACCCGGTGGTGTCTCGATCGATCTCCCAGGCCTTGCTGGCCTGGGATTTGACCTCAAGAATCCATGGATCCTGGCGAGTGGCGCTGACGATGGTGACCCAGCGTGAAGGAGTCCAGCAACGGGTTTCGTTGAGATCTCCAGGTCCATGTAGGGAGAGGAGGGGCATGGATTCGCTGAATGTCCAACAAAAGCCAGCGACTCGCTCTCCCTCAATGTTCAGGCTGTGAATGAAACGGCTTCAGCCTCCAAGATGTAATGAACAATAATGTTTCGGCTTAAGCAATTGCTTCTTCCAAGATGTTCTCTAGGAACGGCGCGCTACATGGCAATTCGTGGTCCTGGGTGGGCCAGACAGATCATCGGCAGCGGTGATTGGAAAACAGGTGCAACCTCGAGTGGCAGCCAGACGCCAACATTGGTAGCGGAGCTTATCCAGATCTACGGCCAGGAGAAAGCCGGACCCTGGATGGCAAGAAGCGGTACATGGGACGACGGCATGGATTGCAGCCGTCTCAGCACATCAAGTGGCGCAAAGTGCCCCCTCAAGTACTTGCAAGAGCAGCTCGTCAGGACACTGGGTGCCGGACGCTGGAAGCAGATTGGAAAGCTGTTGATCAGTGGAAGTCATTCGCGCGGCAGTTCAGTGACCAAGCAAGCCAGCAGGCGAGGAAACGCCCCAAGCTCCGACCGTGGAGTTGGAGATGGCTCTGGAAGAGCGCCGCGAGCTCATCGGCAGGCGCACGGTCGCATGGCAAGAGCGGGCGGTCGCAGCCCTTCGAAACGGGTCTTCGGCTGGGGCTTCGCGGACGCAAGGAGACTACACACCGCGCTGGTCGAGCTCGGCCTTGTCGGAGAGCTCTATGGCAACCCAAAGTCAACTGTCAACGGCAAGGCTGCCGCCCAGGCCAAGATCCGAGCCATGGCCAATCATCTATTGCCGCTTACAGCGTTATCTGACTCATTGCTCAAGCGAGTCTCTGCGTCATTGGTGAAGTGGACTCTTGAGGAAGGTATGAAAGCCATCGTCGCATCTGCAGCCCGCAGAAGGACATGGGTGTTGAGACACAGGGCTGCTGTTTAAGCATGCCCCTTAAGCACACTTGCCTTGAGCGCAACGTGTCCAGACTTGGACGGCTTGAGTGGAGTCGATGGAGGGGGGCCCGTGAGAACGAAGCGCTCAAGGCAGCTGCCAGCTCGCCACAACGCAAGACGAAGATCTGCGGCGAGCCAGTGCAAGAACTCCAGTGTGAGCGTGTCCAGTTTCTGAAGGTGCGTTGGGCGCAGCGTGATGGTGTGGAGAGGCCGCGCGTAATTCCGGGCTTGGAACAGCTCATCGCAGGGCCATGTGTGTGCGTGGCTGCTGACAAGTCACATAGACGACAACTTTCATATGTGGCAACGACCGCGAGAAGGCGTTTGGCGCACGTCTTCTATGGCAACAAGACTGTGTTGAAAGGGCGTCAAGTTGAGAAACGGGACGCAGACGAGATCGCCGAAGGTGAGCGGCAACACGCGCGCAGCGCAGTGGAGACGCGGCGTTTCAGCGCGCTGCGCACATCGTCAAGTGCGACAGCTTCAGCTTCTAAGTAGTTTTAGCCCTCATGTGCTGAACCAGAATGCTTCGGTTTAAGCAATTGCTTCTGCCACGACATTCTTTAGGATCGGAGTTCTGGGTGGGCCAGACAGATCATCGGCAGCGGTGATTTGAAAGGAAGAGCAAAGGATTCTTTTCTGTGGCTCACATTGCCCGCAGCATCCATACGCAGGAAGGCGGTATAGCTTCGTTTTCGTCGTCGTTGTCATCGGCGACCATTTGGCCTTGCTGGGCAAGTACATGCTGAAGGATCTCCGCATAGCAAGTAGCGTTGGCCGCCCACATGCTTGCAGGACATATCTTTCCTTCCGCTGCGGAGGCCAGACGCTGACTTGCCCTATGTGCGCATGATATGTTCAGACAGGCAGAAGTTCTCTGACGTGGTGGAGCAGATGGGCAGCATGCTTTGCTTGCGAGGTCATGACCTCCTCACTTTGTCATGGTCTTAGGTTTCTCTCTGACGTAGCCCAAGGCGGATGCTGCCTTTTGAGCCAGGTACTTGGGTATGCCAACGGAGGCATCGATTCCAGGCCTGGTCTTGGGCCGAACAGTGCCTGGCATTGTTACGCAGCAAACACCATGCACACAGCTCCAGCAGCAGACGCTTTCGCTACTAGCCTTGCACCTCTTTGTCAGCACCCACCAAAGAGCAAAGAGGAGTTGTCCAAGGAAGCACTAAGAAAATCCGTTCGAGCGCAACGCACTCAAGATGTACTTTCAGCCACAAGTGCTTTCAGTGGTGATCCACGTGCAAGGATGCATGCCGCCAGTGGAATCCTCACACTGTGTTGATAGCAACGATTGCAGGCATTGTCCTGCGTAGTGGGAGGGCAAAAATAGACAGGCACCTTTTGCGAGCTTCTGGGACAATCAACATTCAGAGAATTCTCATCAATTGAATACCTCATCGAATATTCCGCCTAAAAGACTTGGTGCGCCATTTCTTAGCAATGCTGGGCAACGCTCAGCTCCAAATACTCTGAGCAGCGTACTTCAAGGAACAAGCCGAACTGGCATGGCAGCCGGCAGTTTGTCCATGAGCTAGTATGCCACAAGCTCAATGGCTGCCGCACATGCTGATTGATCAGATACGATACTAAGATGTCCTATTGTGGGTAAACACCAGATTTAAGCATATGATTAGCTGGGCATTTGTTGTCACATCCAACCATTAGCCGGCCTCCTAATCACGTTGAGAAGCTCTTGCGGGCTTCCTAGAGCCCTGCATTTCAATGCAGATACAAGTGCCCGCGCGCACGTGCCAGATGACTCTCCCACCTTCTGGAGACTTCTGAAGCTCAGCTGCAGGCGGGCGGAGCGAAGTCACGTTGGACCCGAAGCTGACGTTGGCGAGGCGCCAGGAGTGGCACAGCGTGCTCGCCACCTGCGACTTCTACCTGGCGAAGAGGCGGGCTTTGGCTGGTCGAGACGAGTCGCTTCGCCTGGCTTCAGGCGGGAGGTGCGTGACCCTCAGCGCTTTGCATCGAGTGAGATCAATCTCAGAGCTGGAAAAGGTGATTGTGGCACGCATGAGCATCACGCCAGGCAAGACGTGGTGTCCGAGGAAGGCTTTGCGCATGCTGACCCAGAGCAAGAAGGCTGGCTGCGTGTTTTGCAACCCAACGTTGCATTTTCATGTGATCAGGAGGCCTGGGAAGTGTGACAAAGCTGCCAAGAGGCGGGTCTTACAAAGCCGCCAAGAGGCGATCAGCACATTGCAAGGTCTTGGCTTTTGGAGCAACTCGCGCGGGGAGCTGCGTTTGAAGGCTGGTGTCTTCAGTTCCGGTCGTGCTTGGGGCTTCTTCCCTTTCAAGCGAGAAACTGGTTCCGGGACATATTTGAAAGCAGTTCGATTCACAAGGCATGTGTTCTTGACATTTGTTCGTTATTGGTTTGTTTGCTTAATTCGGAGTGATCAAACGGCTTGTTTTGCTGCCTCCGCCGGACTTCTGCGCTGTCAGCTGCTTCGCCTGCTTTTCCTGACAGCCTCAGCAAGACGCCCCCGAACAAATGCAGGGCTTTGCACCCGTGAACAGGCCCAGCATAGGCAGATTGTCTGAGGGACCTTTGATTGAGAAGTGTGAAGTGCTCTGTCCCAGGCCACTCCTCCGTTGCTAGTGCGCCGGCGGGTGAAGCGAGCAAAGTCTCAGGCGGGGTAGAGACAACAAAATGGGGTGTCTGTTTTGAGGGCTTGCTTGAGGGTGCCCCCGTGTTTTTTTGTTCCCTTCTTTGGCTTTAAAGGGAAACTGACAGGAAAACCACCCATTTTCGGGGGCACCCATGCAAAGAGCGCAGTTGTTTGCAACGTGTATCACTCGTTTTCGATGGAAACAAGCCGCAGGCGACCCCCCACAGCCGGCCTGCTCGTTGTGGTGGCATGACATCCATGGACAAAGGGGCCGTTTCCAACTTGTCCTTCAGGATGGGCTTTGGGCTCGGATTTGCGCTGTGGGCTGCCCTAGCTAGCTGAATGATCACTTCATTCAGGTCAGATGGAGCAGAAGCACAGGCACGAGCAGGAGGGTACTCGCACCTTGCATGGGCTAAAATGTTGCTTCATGCTTGCCGTTGGACAACGATTTGCCGGTTTTGCGTTTTGGAATCCTCTCCTCCAGGAAGTGTGGCACCATCTATCTTTCCCTGGCAAGTATGCTGCCGAATCGATTGCTGCTGTGGAATGGCCTCCGGTACAGGTCCGCTTCTTTGACAAGCCACGCAGTGAGGTGCAGAAGGTCAATGTGATAGGCAAACAGGGGGGGTTGTCAGGAGTCTGAATGCTCTTCTGTGTCATCAGCTTCACTTGATGAATATGCGGAGGCGCAGCCATAATAAATATATTCATACCACACTATACATGTTGCAACCGCCAGGATTTCTATATTGATCGACATCAATTACAAACAATTTTCCGAACCAACTAAAACATACCTTGAATATCAATAATGAAGAAACAATGAATCATATTAGATATTGAATGAATAAATCGATCTATTTTTTTGTTTTTTATGTATAATTAATTTTAAATTTATTGGTATAGCCGACGAAATTCGGAGACGGATATTTTTAAATGATATATAATTATAAATATAATTTTATATTATGGTTATTATTTGTTTGATTGTTTTTTATATATATATGTATAGATTTTATATTGGAAGTTGTATTTATGATATTTTTATTAAATATTTTATTGAAATAATTTATTGTTGAATTTTATTGAGTATTTTGTTAGAATAATTTATTATTGGATTTCGCCGAGTATTTTGTTAGAATAGATATTTTATTAAAGGATTATTTTGATAAACAAAAAAATGTTAATGGTTTTTAATATGCCATTAGAATAATTCGTTGGTTTGGTTTTGCTTAATATCCAAAAAGCCCGATGGGAATTTGGAGATAAAATCTCTAGGATATAGAGGAATTTGTTATAACGATTGTAAGATCGCGAGTGTGGAGGATGGGATTTGTTCGAAACGAAGTATTTTTTTGTGTTTCTTGTTTTTAAGGTTATTGTTGTATGGTGGCGTTAAATATAGTGATTTTAAATGGTATTTATATTGGTATTAGGTTGATTATTAATAATATATAATGATGATTTTGTTAGTAGGGTATAATGTTTGATAATTAGTATATATAATTATTGAATTATTATTTAATTATTTAATAAAATTATAATATATAGATATTTATTCTGAACATATATTAGTATATATTATTATAGAATTGATTTTTTTTTAAAAAAAAAATATTTTTATTTTATATTTGTTTAAATTGATTTATTTTATTTATTAATTATATTGTTTGTATAATTTTTCTCGTTTTTTTTTCTTTTTTTTTTCCACGTGGTTTTTTGTTTTTGATTTTCATTTTTTTTTATTGGTTTATCTTTTTTTTAAAAATATTTATTTATATAATTATTAATTCTTTCTTTATTTTTTTTTATTTTTTTTTAATGTTTAATTAATTAATTTATTTATATATTTGGTTAATTTATCTATTTACTAACCTATTTATCTATTAATTAGTTAGTTAATTATTAATTAATTAGTTATTTATTTAATTTTCTATTATTATTCTATCTATATAATTCTTTATTTTTATTTTATTTAATGTTATTTTAATTAAATTTATTAATTATTTATTTATTTATTAATTTACTTATATCTTAATATTTTTATTAATTTATTAATTTATATATTTATCTATGTATATTTATTTATCTAAGTAATGATTTATCTATATATTTATCTATTTATTATATATATTTATATCTCTATTTATATATTTCTATCTATTTCTTTATCTAGTTCTCTATTTAATTCTCTATCTATTTTTCTATTTATTACTCTATCTATTTCTCTATCTAGCTATTTTGCTATCTACCCATCTATCTTTAATAATTTATTTAATTATCTATCTATTTAATTTGTTTTATCTAAAGATCTATTTCGAACATTATTTTTGTATTTATTTATTTTCAATTTTCGAATTATAATTAAATACATATAATTTAAATAATATTTTGAGATTTAATTTTTATGTTTTTCGATTTATCATTAACTATATATAATTATATTTTCGATCACGAAAATAATATATCTATTACGAAATCTATACCTAACCTTGCGAAATTACTAAACCTATCACGAAATTTATATTTAACCTATAAAAATACTATCCCTACCACGAAATATATATTTAACCACAAAAATATTACCCCTACCACGAAATTTGTGCTTAATTTTACGAAAATATTATTCCCATCACGAAATCTATACCTAATCTTACGAAAATGCTACCCCTATCACGAAATCTATAAATAATATCCAAGCCAACAACATAAAATATATAATATATTCGTATCCAAAATAAAAAAATGCTATATCTATCACGAAAATACCTACCAAAAGAAATATAATTAATTTTATAAATATAATAAAAATATAATCATATTTATAAAATATATTATCAATATATTTTATTATATATTTCTAAATCTTTAATATTATTTATATCATTTACTTAAACCAAGATACTTAAATCCTAATCAAATATACCTAAATAACTAAATCGATCAAATCAAAAATAACCCCTAAGAATATTTGACTATAAATGGATATGGTCGCCAAATCTACGATTAAGTATACGCCACTAAGGATATATTTAGACAAATTGATTTTCTCCCAACAGCTAAAAGCTTTAAGATATAAGCTCCGGGGTGGTCCGGGCCGGCGCTGGGTAAGGTTCCACGGGGGTTCCACCAGGGTTCCATCAGGGTTCCATAAGAATTCCATCAGGTTCTGCAAGGGCTGCGGGGTGGTCCGGGGCGGCCCTGAGGTAAGGTTCCACGAGGCTTCTATCAGGTTCCGCAAGGGCTGCGAGGTTGTCCAGGGTGATTTGAGGTAAGGTTCCACGAGGGTTCCACCAAGTTTCCATTAACCAGGGTTCTGCGAGGTAAGGTTCCATAAGAGTTATAGCAAGGTTACACCAGGAAGGGCTATGGGGTGGTCCGCAACGATTTGAGATAAGGTTCTATGATAGTTCCGGGGTTCCATCAAGGTTCCACAAAGTTCTGCGAGGTCTCCGGGGTTGTCCGGGGTGGTTTGCAGGGTGTATCAGGATGTCACCAGGGTGTCACCAGGGTTCCACCAGAACCTACGGGGTGGTCCGGGGTAGTTTGAGGTAGGTTTTACCAGGGTTCCACCAGGATTCCACGAGGTTCTGCGAGGGCTACGGGATAGTCCGGAGCGGGTTCAATAGAGTTCCACAAAGATTCCACAAGGATTCCATAAAGTTTCAGAAGGGTTATACAAATGTTCTACAAAATTTCGTGCTTTGCCTTAGAGGGAAGTAATATGTCGTATTACCGCCGTCTAAAAAGCCATCGGGATAGTAAATTGAGAACTCAGAACATCACTTTGCTCATGGGCGGAACACTAAGCAAAACCGAAATCAATAATTTTCAGCACACTTTCACTGTTTTGATCACTGTGCAGCAGAGTAAATACTTAGCATTACTGAGTATTATTTGGTGGGCTTTGGGTTCCAAGGGTTCCACGAGATTACGAGGACTATGGGGTAAGGTTCCAAAAATGCTCCACGCGGTTTCCACCACGTTTCCGCGAAATTCTGCAAAAGCTATGGGGCAACCCTGAGGAAAGGTTCCAATCCTGTCAATCCTAGCAACATGAACCCCTAACAAACTATAATTCTGCGCGGTTCCACAAAGACGCGGTTCCAATCCTAGCCACAAATATATAGCGCAAACCATACGCCCAAGAAAAAGACAAACAAACAAAGTAAAAGGAAACAAACAACAACAAAACAATCAAACCAACCAACAAAAAAAACACAAAACATATAGACATAACAACCGACAAAAAAAGAGGCCCAGAAACAAACAAAGAGACAACCAACACAAACAAAGACACACAACAAGACGGACACAAACGGACAGAGAGTGAGAGAGAGAGAGAGAGACAGACAACCAAACAAAGAGAGACAGAAAGACAGAAAGAGAGAGCAGAGGGACAGACAGACAGAGAGAGACAGACAGAGAGACAGACAGAGAGACAGACAGAGAGACAGACAGAGAGACAGACAGAGAGACAGACAGCGAGGCAGACAGAGAGACAAACAAAGAGACAGACAGAAGAGACAGACAGAGAGACAGACAGAAAGACAGACAAATCGACACAGGCAGCAGAGAGACAGAGAGACAGAGAAACAGAGAGACAGCGAGACTGACAGAGAGACAGCGAGACTGACAGAGAGACAGACAGAGAGACTGACAGAGAGACAGAGAAAGAGAAAGAGACAAAGAGAGAGAGACAGAGAGACAGACAGAGAGACAGAGAAAGAGAAAGAGACAGAGAAAGAGACAGAGAGAGGAAGAGAGAGAGAGAGAGAGAGCCAGAAAGAGACAAAGCGAGACAGAGAGAGACAGAGAGAGAGAGAGACAGAGAGAGACAGTCCATATTTTGGGAAATTCGGAAAGCAACATCGTGCTTAACACATAAGTGCAAGCAGCCGGAGGCAGCCGGAAGCAAATTTCATTGGCATACGGCAGCCGAGCTAAGGCGTCCTGGTGAGCCAAGCACCGCGCACTTCCCGCGAACTTCTACATCTACTCCGCTGCTAAAACGCGAACTTCTGGCCGAGTATGGAGAACATCGCGTGCAAAACTCGCACGCTCGGCTAACTCAACCCCTTCCTTCTGGCACCCGGCCTTTGTGCCAAGGAGGCGGCCACCGGATTCCAAGACGCGCGAACCACCACGCCGCAGGCGAGGCAGGACACAGCTGCGAAGCGCCCCGGCCGCAAAGAAAGGGCTGAGGCAGCGAGTTTTGCGTGCGGAAATGCTTCGCCCAGCCGGCCCGAAGGAAGTTGGAGCTGCGGAGCGAAACAGACCTAGAAGCTTGCGGGAAGCGCGGAGGGCTGCTTTGAGCGAGTTTTGCGCGTGGAAATTTTCGCCCCAGCCGGCCCAAAGATGGAGATACAAATCCAGAAGCTTGTGGGAAGTGCGCAGGGCCTGAGAAGCACGTTTCCGGCTCTTCCCAGATTTTCGCAAAATAAGGGAACAATTTCCTGCCCGGATTTTCTTGAAATCTGGGAAGGAAAGTCACTAACTCTTCCCGAATTTTCCGGAAATCCGGGAAAAGAAAGAACAGCAAGCTCGTTCCAGGATTTTTGGAGCTTTTACCAGATTTTCCGAAAATCCAGGAAGAGTTAGAAGGACAGCAAGCAGGCCAAGAGGAAAATAGCTTTGTCGGAACTTTTTTCCGGATTTCCGGCGCATTTCCCGGGAAGAATCGCAAGAGATTCGGGTTCCCTGGAATATGCGCATTTTCGGGCTTACCGAAATATTGAAAGAGAACATTTTTGTACAGTTATTCTCAATTATTACTAAACCAAGAAAATGAAAAGCAGCAAAGAGACATGACCGGATATAAAAGGAGCTATAGGTTGTTTTTTGAACTAACAGGGACACAAATGGGAAGTTAAGCAGAAATAAACAGAAAACACCAGGGAAATTACGTAGGGTTTGGGGGGGAGGAATCAGGAAGAGTGAGGGGGAGAGAGAGAGAGAGAGAGAGAGAGCGAGAGAGAGAGAGAGAGAGGTAGAGAGAGGTAGAGAGAGGTAGAGAGAGGTAGAGAGAGGTAGAGAGAGGTAGAGAGAGGTAGAGAGAGGTAGAGAGGTAGAGAGAGGAGCGAACAAAGGGGGGAAGGGAAAAGAGAGATGAAAAAGGAGAAAAAGGAGAGGCCAATGTCGGCGGAGTGAGCTGGAGGCTCTAAAGCACATATATGTATGCACATATGTATATATATATATGTGAAATTATGTGTTTTATTAGAATATATTATCAACAAACAGATTTCACTGTGCAAACCACATTCTAAATTGTCCTACTATGATTAGCATTAGATAATAGGACACTTATTTTCATGAATCGGTTTTGCGTCCGCTGCAGCGTTATGGAAGTTGCTTGCCTTCAAGGTTGGGAACGCACGGCTTTTCATGTGCGCATTGATGGGCGGCTAACAATGCGGAGACCCTTCTCTTTCATGCACTCCTCTTCATTCAATACCCTTGTGCATTTTGCCACCCGTCCGTGTCTGCAGGCTAGCAAGACGCAACCTCTGAATTTATTTTAGGCTTGCACAAATGATTGTTGCGCATTTGCCCGATTTGCAATGAATCATGATGCCCACCTCCTCTTGCCATTTACGAACACACACACATACACACGCATATGCGCGCGCACGCATGCACGTGCGCGCACATGTGCAGTGCAAGCTATTGCTCCGCTGCAGCTTGGATTCCTGCCTTGCCAGCTGGGACATCGGGCATGTCCTGTTGCGCTAGCAGGGGCAGCTCCCGTGCGACCATATCAAGTGCGGCCTCCTCAGCAATCTGCGTAGCGTCGTCTGAATCCTCCTCACGTGCGCGCGTCGCTACACTTCCACACCTGACCATTATTCCCTTCTAAGCCTCCTTCATGGGGGAAGCAACCCAATCAGGGGTTCCACGGCTTCAACCAATGGTGCGATGCTCCATGCAGCATTTGCGAGAGTACACAGCTTGCGGCCGCAGTTCGATGCGGTTCCTCCTTTTTTGGCTTAGCTTTCTGCTTCTTCTTGTGCTTGGAGGCCTTTGGTACGTTCAATGCCAAGCTTGTGAATAGCGTGAGGGCCTTGTGTGGCAAGCGGTCCTTGACGTGCTTGTTCTTTTTCTTGCTCTTTTTCAAATGCCCTGAGCTGGAAAGCTTCACCAGCAGCAACCGAAGAGCGACAACCAGGTTGATGCTCTAGCATTTATCTTGGGTTGCACAGCCCTATCAACAACTTGAAGGCAAAGGATCTCCCAAATCTTGCCTTCCACAATGTAAAACACCACTCAACTAAGTCATTGCTCCGGCAACATGAAACCTTGGCTCCGAATTGTTCTACAAACCGGGCCAAGTGGAGGTTGGCTCGCCAAGATCCCTTCAGCCAGCCGCATGAGAGCGGCACGGTGGCTTTTCTTTGCCTCACGCTCCTGCGTGGGCGCCCAAAATCCGGAGGACACCCTGGCCGGCAAACTTTTTCGGGTTGACCCAAGGTGGATCTCGAAAAATGTTTGATAGAGAGGCTGTGCATACGCGCCTAGCTACAAACAGGCAGCTTGGGAATTGTTGACCATGTGTACTGGCTCATGTCACGCGGCGGGCCAATAGCCAGCTCGGTTCCTTCTGCTAAGGACCAAGGTGCTCCTAGCTTTGGATTCAATCGTTTGCGTCTCCGAGTGGAGCTGACGAGGCAAATGATGCCAGCGGCTGATTTTTGGATGGCCAGGCAGGTCGCGCTGGATGCGTTTGTCATCTCAAGCAAAGGCATGAAGTGGCCTGCCTAGATAAGTTGGTGAGTCTTGCCCAAATACTGTCAAAGATCCTTTGCGGAAGTTATACAGATATTCCACAGTTCCTGGAGTGAAGGCTGGGCGTTGACCATGACGCACTTGAGGAAGCATTCATGTCAGAACATCTTGCCCCACCGCATTGTGGGTGGAGAAAGGGCAAGATGCACCTAACAATCGGTGCACTGGGATACCAAACTGTACTTGGCGGGCACCCCGGGCATTCTTACCCAAGGTTTCGCTGTGGAGTCGTTGTTTCAGGCAGCAGGCGTCCGGGCGTTGCATTTTTCGCACAACAAAACGCACGCTTGACCGGACAGCAATTGAAAGCCGAGGCGATCTGACCGTCCACTGCAATGATGATACGCACAATGTGTGATAAGCATTGCAAGGGATATAATAATGTAGATCAAGCTTCGATGTATAAATTTCAGCTCAATTGCTACTTGTATTTTCGCTCGCTGGTCCTGGTCTGAGCTGGCCTCTTCATTTGAGTGGCCCATCTTGAGGCGCTTGCCAGACTCCTGTGGCTCTTTCTTGCCTGGACCTCGGCCTTACAATATCTCGTTGGCTCGTTGAACTGAACTGAGTCCTTTGTCTTTTTGGCTTTCTTCTTTCCATTCTGTGGCCTGCTCTTGCATCACACCACCCGTACGAACACGAGTATACAAGCAAGAACATGGACGTTTGTGGTGACCGGCTGCGCCTGCTTCGAGACCGTTTTGGACCTCCCAAGTGGGTGAGGAAGGTATGGGTTCGAGAGTAAGTGCACACAACTCAGATTCTCAGAGCAGCTCTCCGCAGACTTTGGGCGGACGGTGCTGCGAGCGATAGCCTTGGTGGGTGCCCCATGCTCACCTTTTGAAACCCACACATCTATTGCATCCAGGGCGCGGCAGGCCCCAAGCAGCTGCAACTTTGGGATCCAGGGCTGGGATGGCTTTGGCCGCGGGAGGCGAGGGAGATCCACCAGGTGCTTGAGCTGCCGGAGACGCCTGCGCTAAGGGTGGACCTTGCGAGCTTGTTGGCGAGGGTCGCGGTGGGGACTGGTGGTGCTTGCACGGCGCGGCCTGCGAGATGTGGCAAGACGTCAAAATGTGACTAGTTGCTGATGAAACTCCAAATGAGGCCACTGCTGCATGCGACTGCTTTCCCGAATGCAGCCAATCAGAGAAGTAAGCCCAAGCCACAAGCAAGCAACGCAGTGCTGCCAAGAGGCGTCCAGCTCAAGTTGGACTTGCTCGGGCCTACGGCCCAGCAGTGCATCACCATGCCCACGTTTCTTTAGCATGCACTGAGCTGAGGCGAGAGCTGAGGCTGCTGCGTGGCTGTTGGA